CTCTTTGGAAGCTTTCAAATGAAGGATCTCTTGGATTCTGCATTTCCTTGGATGTTTTATTTCTGTGGTCTGAATTTTTTCTATATTGTCTAAATATAAAATGTAGAACTTACATATCTTGAATTGCATCATTTTTTGAGCCCGTTGTTGTTTGTCAAGACATATTAAATTTTAATACTATCCTCCTGTTTACTTGTAGCCCTCCCAGTTTCTTGTCATCTCAAAGCTAGCAAACATGTTTTTCAGTCACCTAGATCACCATGATTAATTTGGTAGTATAGTAAGTATTGTAAGTATCATGGGGGGAAGAGGTGACAGGAGCTCTTCAGATTCAGTGTATTTGATTAAATTGATACTATTTACAAGAAGAAAAAGCTCCACTTAGGTGTCTTTTGCTCTTTCAATTAAAATACTATTTAATTTTTGACTACAAACTTAATGTTTTGGGGTTTTTTTTAAGATTAAGGGTCTTAGAATAGTATTAACGTATTTTGCAAACTGCAACAAGTATCACAGCAACCTACACTTTGGTCAAAGTTGCTTGCCACTGTTTTAATTTTGGGACAGATTTTATTTAAAGTTTAATTTATTGTTTCAGCAAAGAAATGGAAATATGCCAATGTAATTTGCTCCTATCACAAAGTGGTGAGGCATTGTCAAAGACTGAGCAAGCTGTTACACAGAAAGGACTAGATGAGCTTGATGACTGGTGTTACTGGAACAAGATGAAATTCAGAACTATAAATGAAAAGTCATGCAATTAGGGACAATCTAATATAGTACAGGGACACACAGCTGGAGAGTAAAGTGATCACAGAACCACAGAGAATGATGGCAAGTTGCCAGTTGTACATTTTAATGCTTTGCTTTGCCATTGAACAAAGACAGTTTTTACACATTTCTGAGGAAGAATTGGTAATCTGTTTTCCTTCTAATTTTATTAATCAGGATTGTCTGTAAATGAGGGTTCCTAGGATATCAGGAAAAGATTTGGAGCTTCCTCTTGGCTCTGTCCTGTCAAAAATCATTCATCCTCATGTAGAGTTTCTTTACATAGGACACTGAACACTTCTTCATCTCTAACCCTTCTGTGGGCCCTGTGTTTTACCAGATGATTAAATGACAAGGTCCACTTCAAGCTTTCACACATGCCACAGTAGAGGGAAGAGGGATACCATTAGTGATAAAATTGTTTGTAAAATGTACCCATGTACATTCTGTAGGTGGGAAGATAGCAGCTGGAATAACTTATTACCAGAATTGCCATTCTTATTTCATGTTTATGTTTGAGGTAAGTTTTTACCATGTTCACACAATAGTTCTTAAACATAGGCTGTGTTGGATTGCATTTTCATTGGTATTTGCTATTTGAGTTCATTTTCCCTTTCTCTAATAATTTTATCTGTTACATTTATTATAGCTATGTGTAGTATCAAATTTATTTTAAGGATTGCTACCAGCTTCTCTAGATGTATTATTGTTGTCTCCTCTTTGGAAGTATATATATTTCTCTTTTAGACTGCAAAGCTAATATTGCATTTCCTGTCTAGTCTGTCTCTCTAAAATACTTGTTCATTTTTCCTTACAGCCTAGTAAGACTGTAGACCCAAGCCTCTAAGGCAATGGGATACAATGTCCTCTGGCTATTTCCTTTTTGTCTTCTCTTTTCACTGTCCTTCCTGACACTGTGCCTGTAGATTGTATAGCACTGGTGAAAATCAAAATGAGATCTCTGGTAATTTCAGACCTTTACAATAAGAAACAAATAATCAGGTGCTTTAACTTAATATACTGTTAATGGAAGAATGAAGCTCCTTTTCCATATTGTGTGAATTAGCCCAGCTTTTCAGGTACTTGATTTACTCTAATTTTCATTCATAATCAGATGCCTATCTATACAAATAAATAATCAAAATGCTTTTGTAGTTAGAAGCTACTCTACTCCTCCTGTGGATCTGTGCTGTCTCACAATCCTCTTATTTTGAGACTTCAGAACATCCCCAAGTAAACCGTAGTCCTAATTAGAGCCGTCCAGAAGTTTTCAACCAAAGCTTCTTAGCCAAAAAATTGGTTACATGGAATCATTTGTAAACTTTTTGTTGATTTCTTTGAATCATCTCTGAAAATAGAAAACCCTATCGAATTAAGCACTTTTCTAAGAGGCTTTTTAACATTACTTTAAAATATTGTATAATAGTTAAATTAATCAAAACCAAATTGATACTTTTCATGTGGTCCAATTATAGTTTGCATTTGGCACATTTTTTCCTAGTTTCTGAAAATTTCAAAAGCCTTGTTTTGACCAAGTCAAACTCTTCATTCTCTCACCACAATTACAAAAGGAAAAATTATCAATATTTTCACCTCCCTTCACTGTCTGTTCTTCAAAGCCACACTGGCATTTCTTTAGCCCCTCCATTAATTCCTTCTCCAACATCTCTCACTTTAGACTGATCTTCTGCTTTTTATTACTTTCCACACCCTTTTTTTTGTCCTCTTCATGGCTGAAGGAAAGGAGATGGCAGAGAATAAATGCCAGAAGATTTGAAAATATAGATACACCAATGTGTCTTGCTTGAAAAGTTTGGAGGAGATTTGTGTATGTGTGAAAGAAGGAGGGAAGGGCAGAAGGTTGCTGGTGAGGTAGGAGAGATAAAGAGGTTTTATTGGTGCAGCAGAAGGAAAAAGTACAAAAATAGGTAAGCATGGAAAATACAGAGCAAGCAGAAGAGTGGAAAGAAGTAGGATGGTGTTCTGGTGGAGTGGTGCCCAAAGGGAATGTTTTACTGATTTGCCACAGAGAGTGGCTTACAGTGTTCCCAACCACCTGCTGCAGCAGGGAGCAAGAATAGATGACTTCTGTACAGGACCTCTCTGCTGCAGTGAACACTCAGACATGCCCTCCTTCCCTCCCATTGCTGGCCAATCTGCATTTAGAAAGAATGCACAGTTGTATACATTTGTTTTAGTATATTTACAGAAGCTACAGTTTAAAGTAATCCAGACTGCTGATAATACAGTTTCAGCAATCGCCTGTGTAACCTCCATTTTTTTTATTACTCTTACTTTGCTTATCCCTCCTACTTTCTTTCTATCTCACCTTCAGTTTTAACAGCTATGGTCACATCAGCAGTAGCTGCTATGTATTCAAAAGAATTTTTGAGTATCTTGAGACTTGAATGGTTATATAAAATCATGTATTTTAGTCCAAGAGTCTCAGTTTAAGCAAGTGTTCAAGCATGCAAAAATTCTTTACCATTTCTGAGGAGAATTTATGAGTATGTATCAGTACCATCTACTGGCAATAAGAGTTACAGCACTCAGTAGGCTTGCACAGGAAATGCCAGACTTTACTTCAATAACCAGGATCCTCCAGCAGGAAGTTAGGTGTGGTCCGTAAAAGGAGACTTTAAAAAAAAAAAAAAAAAAAAAAAAAAAGGAAAAGGCATGATGGAATTTTAACTGCAGTCTTCCCTGGTGCCATTCCAAACCCACATAACTGCAAGATTCTTCACTGGTAATGAATTTTTAATTGTTTCCTGCAGTATTAAAACAGAATTATGCTTCCCCCCCCCCTATAATTAGAAATGAAATCTAACAGGATTCTGCGGCAGGACCACTTTCATTTTCCTAATGAATGCTTCTGCTGCTGGTAGTCAGTGCAGCTTCCAGCAGCAGTTTGGTACAGACCGTCCATGACAGAATGCACCAGGTGGATTTGCCTGCAGTGGAAGAGCATGCTCACAGGGAGACCTGCAGGAGTTGGGATGTGTGTGTGGATGTTCGTGTAGGTGGAAGTGGCTGTGTGCATATGGTTGAAAAGGAGGAGAAAGCATCATGTTGCAGTTTATTTAACAGCCTTCAAAAATACTAATTTGTTGCGGCTGTGCTGGAGTATGTGTGCTAAGTGAGACAGTAAAATAGGATCAGGCTAATTGTATTCAAACTGTTGTATCATTTTAATCTGATAATTATTTCTGGGTATATTGTCTTACTCAGAACTTGTTACTTTATTGCATTTGCAATATTTTTAATGTGCTTACTGAGAAGGATGCTTGAGAAAAATTCTTGTAGGCTACAGCAGATATCTTGTTTGTGATTTCAGATCAAAGTATTTGCCTTGGGAATATTTTTCACTTGTTCTTTTTAACTGAGCTGCCTGGAGACATTAAGAGATGGTCCTGCTCCTGCTAGTGAAATTTGTGAAATATTGACATGATAACAGACATAAAAGATCTAAGTACAGTATATAATGATTAAAAATCAGTTTTGTTTAATTCAGCAATTCTTCCAGTGCACAGTGTGTTGCAAGGCAGGGGATCTGAATACAGGTGCTTATGCCTAAACCTTGTTTCCTGAGCTGGCAGTTCAGCAAAGGCAGCATATTTGTACTCGAAGTGAAGGAGCATCTTGTATTGCTTTCAACGGATCCTTCTGGCTTTATGTGGCAGTAGTGGACTCTAAGAGTCATTTCTGGTCCATATAGCTAGAGGGAAGACTGGTCCAAGATGCAGCTCTCAGGATAATAAGGAGCTACATTGTCTGGAGTCTCATTCCTCAACACTGAACCAAATACCTCAGAACTGTTGATTCCTGACATTGAATGTAGTGGAAAATATCTCCTGCTTTATTCATGGGAATGGATAACATTACCCTTGATAAAGGCAAAAGATGTTATTGTGTTGTGTATGACTTTTTTTACCAGCCTGTAGAATTGAAAATCTATTAGTACAAGCAGTAAGGGAACTTTAAACTAAATGTTTTAAGGATTGATACTTCTGTGCCAGCTCTAAGAGGCAAGCTGAAAACAAAAATGGTTTGTCTTGAAATAAAAACAAATTTAAAAATTAATTTCATGACAGTTTCCTCTTGGATGATACTTACTGAATTTAAAAGATGTCCCACAAAAAATTCTGTGATGGTATATTGCTTTACATTGTAGCTGTGTTGCTGTAATTTTTTTTCTGTGTTTTTCTTTTGTTTTCTTTTTATATTTTTAGCACTTTTTTATGAGAGAGGCTAAGCAGTAATTAAGAGGTGCAGGATGAAAAGATGGCACAATCAGTGCTGGTACCACCAGGACCTGACAGCTTCCGCTATTTCACAAGAGAATCACTTGCAGCTATTGAACAGCGTATCAATGAAGAGAAAGCTAAAAAATCCAAGCAAGAACGCAAAGATGATGATGATGAAGATGGCCCAAAGCCAAACAGTGACTTGGAGGCAGGAAAGACACTGCCATTTATTTACGGTGACATACCTCCAGGAATGGTGTCTGAACCCTTGGAAGACCTGGACCCATATTATATCAATAAAAAAGTGAGTGTGTTATATATTTCTATAAGACTTTAAGAAGAATAAATAACAAAGAACCCATCAAAGATGCAGTATTTCTATTATTTTTGACCTAGAGCTTCCATATAATAATTCCCCCAACAGCTGGTGTGATTGGCAGAAATCTCCACTCGAAGAACAGAAATTAGTAATGCAAGTTTGTGGGACCTTGTAGATCAGTAGAGATGCACTTAATTTTATTTTTTTTTATAAACTTGGCATTTTAATAAAACCTAACTTTCAGTTTTACACACAGGAGAATTGAAGTAGCAGCACAGCGGTCATCTTTAGAATAATTACTAATTGCTGTATTATAGTTGTGAAAGGAGCAGGTCTTCAATATGAAATCCATCTCAAAGGTAGCTACACATCTTCTTACTAGATTTCTTCACTGTTGTGAAAAGTTTAGGTTGCATTCTCTTGTCACTGGGAAAGATAGGGAAATATGTAAAAGTAATTTCTCAGGATATGATGATGATCATCCTGATCCATATTTACTCTGTAGAGGCATCATATATCCAAATTAGTCTGGGTGAAAAAATTTTCTTATCCAGTTCTATTTTGTTCTATGATTGTTTTCAAAGAGGAGGTGTTTCAAAAAAGGACATAAATAAAGAGGAGGTAGCAATTGCACTTGGAGTGTTGACAGAATGTTACATAATTAAAAAAATATTTATGGAGATGTTAATTTAAAAAAAACAGATCCACATATTTGCTTTGATTTAAAGTAACAACAACTGCTGTGACCAGCACAAAAGTGTTGAACTTTAGACTAGTGTCCAGATGGCCTTGGGTTTCCTCCAGATTTTCAGTCCCTTTGATTTTGGCATCATATGTATTCAGTCCCATTATTTTACTAGTAAAGAAGAAATAATTTTTTTTTTTCCTGTTTTCATAATTTTTTTTCTCCTGCTTTCTTTTCTTTCCTGTGGAAACTAGCTAGCTAACAAAAACAGGTGAATTAAAAAACAAAACCCATGAAAATGAAGAAACTGCTTCAAAGAAAAATGAAGAGAAACTCCAAGAATTGTTATGATTCAAACTCAGAATAAGAGAAAAAAAGCAAATGAAGATATTTCCTGCAGGAATTAGGGGTATGCCTCATCAGTAATATGTTGAAACAATAGCAATATAGGCATACCGTGAAGAACTAAGCAGAAGAGCTCAAAAAAAATCAATTGTGCCTTAAGTGTTCATTGCAGAATTTCTAAAACGGAATTAATGTATGGAGAATAATGAGTTAAATTTGAAAACAAAGTTTTCAATTAATTATCTTTTGCTCCCTTTACTGAAGTGATTTACCCTGTTGAAGTCTGGAAGGCAGATAGAATTTGGGTCAAATACCAATTCCTTTTCTTAATTCTTTCCACATTCTGTAGCAGTAAAAAATCTGAATTCAACATCAGAAATCCTAAAGTTAGAGCATGTACCATCGTGAAACTAGAAGAAGTAATTCTGCAATTGAGTATGGACAGGAAGTAAAATCCTGCTGAATTGATTGTTCCTGATTGAGAAATGCATAGCAGTTGTCATGATCTTTTCCAAAAGCATTGTGATTTCCAGTAGGAGAAGCAAAACTTTGAACTGTATGTTACAATCATAATTTTTCCTATTATTTTTCTTAGCGTTCTTTGCATATTTTTGAACATAATTTTTTGGGTCAGGCTTTGTTTTCTTTTTTTAACGTAACTTGATGAGTCAGCATAACACTAATGCCACTTCATCAGAGGTTTTGTCAGAGTAAAGGGAGCAGAAAACATAAGAATTCTTATTAGAAAATTATTAGAAGTCTAATTTCATTAGCTACAGGACTAATAATAGGAGAGTTGAAAAATCTTCATAGTAAAGAGCATGTTACAGACTCCTGTACAATAAAAGATCAAAATGCAGCTTGAGAATCATTAAGTATGGGAAAATGCAAACATGTTACATTTGGTAGAACTGATTTTTATAATTTATAATTTATTATTTCAGTCAGGGAGAGGCATTGTGGTTTCAGCTGCTCCATTTGCCACACCTGCTCAGAAAGTAGAACGTAATCTTGACAAATGCTGCCCTCTGATTTCAGTTGAGGCAGATCATGGCTGCTGGCAGTGTTCCAGGTTTGCATGACTTATGTGCCCTTTGGGCTTCCCAGGACTGCCACAATGCTGTCTAGATCCACTTCCTCTCAAAAAGCATGAGCTTTCATCCCTGTCTAGAAAGAAGGGATGATAGAAATAGACAGAACATACCCCAGATGTGTGGGAATCAAAATTATTTTTTTAAAAAAACCTTACGGGTTTCATTCTTTATTTCTTGGATTTTAAAAACACTGTTACATTTAGAAATGCTTCTGGAAATGTTGGATATATATGCATGAGTCATTGCTGAAACCGTGGAGAGAAAGTGAAAACACATGGATGCAGTGAATTCTGTATTAGGTGAAAGTAAAGTATGACAAGGAAAATAGATTTGCAGGTACAGAACTATCACAAGCAATAGCTGGAAAGGGGAGTAATACATTACTCTCAGAGTACAGCAAAAATTGAGTACATTAGTGTTATGTTCAAAAATGGTTATTGAACACTCTCGATTTCTGTATTTTCATGATCACTTGAAACTCAGATAACTTTGAGTTAGTTTTGTCTTAGTACTTTGATTTGATAATTTAGGCTGTTTATTTGATTTAGAGATTGAAGTAGAAGTTTTAATGGCTCTCATTTTGGTTACAGTTACCTGAGTGTATATATTATACTGTACAAAAAGTACACTAATTCTTCAAATATTGCCTATGTTACTTTTATGTTTGTCTCTGTTTACTAGCTAGCAATATCAGGATTACTTTTGATTTCTAAATAGATGCATTTAAGTTCATTTATTTGTATCTATAGTAATTTGGCTGGACTCCACAATGTGTGAACTGGACAAGGGGATTGTGTCAATGACAAAAGAGCATATTGACCAAATATGATTAATGATGAAATGAAAATGATTCAGGGTTTGTAACTTGGTATCATCTAAATGCTATTTTTCATTCTCTTTTTCTTTTTCCAGACCTTTATAGTATTGAATAAAGGGAAGGCAATATTCCGATTCAGTGCCACCTCTGCCCTGTACATGTTAACTCCTTTCAATCCTCTTAGAAAAATAGCTATTAAGATTTTGGTACATTCATATCCTTTTCAAGTGGTTAGTCTAAAACTGATGAACTAATGAATGAGATGTTACTTAGTATTTAAATCATTCTCTGGCACATGTCCCGGGATCAATATGATCTGTAGTGCTTTGTCCCTCTTCCCTCTACTATTTCTGTCTTCTGTTCTTTTTCTCCTTCTTTTACATTTCTGTTCATTGCTGGATCCTAATATAGTAATACCAGAAGCCAGACAACCAGTCATCGTCCTTTACAGTTTCTGTGTCTTCTTTCTTCACCCACATAATTTTTCCTTCCCTCTTGTTTTTTTCTGTAATCATCACATCTTTTTTTCATCTTTTCCCCTCCTCCACATTTTTCATAAACTGCAGATATATTGCTCAGAATACTTTAAGTTCTTCCCTGACACTCCGTATTAAAATCAAATCTTTGATCCCAGCTCTGTGTCTGCATGAGTATTTGGTGAAAATATGGTTTCATTATTCCTTTATATTTTCTGATTCAGATAATGCTAACAGAAAGACAGATTCATAGAACAGCTGAGGTTTCTTGTTTTGTTACACATTCTCAGTCTTGTATGTATCCCACCTGTCTGTTTTATTTCTTGATCGTTATTGCATTATACACTTGTAAGCCTATTGATGTTTTAATTTCAGTCTTCAAGAAGGTCATGAGACTTTCACATTGCAGGTAGAGATTTGAAAAGCTAAATTATTATAATTACTTAACTATTATTTTGTTTTTTTTCAGTGTTTGAATAGCTGACTATAGTAGGCATCCCACTGGTCTGATCCCAAATACCAGTATGAGCGATGAGGGCACTGACTTCAGAAAGCCAGCTTACTTAATAAGGAGCAAATACAGATGTTTGCACAGTTGTATTTACAGAAGTCATAAGCACACTGAAAGAAGTTTTGTGTTAGCATTGCATATAGGGATCCTGAGATTATGTAGACTAAATCTTGAGCGGACTTTTTTCAGTCTTGCTCTACTGTAAGACTGATAATTACAGCAGTTGGTATGTGTTGGATGTTGTTATCAATGGCTGGCCTACAAATGACTTCCAAAGCAATCATGTTAGCACATAGTTTTCAATTTCCTTGCTACAGGTGCCACTACAAATATTTTTTTTTTCGATTATATGACACTCTCTACCATATTCTGGAGCATTATTGAGTTATGGTGATTAATAGAAGATTGTGGGACTGAGGTGGTGGTGAAGGGCTAGTCACCAAAGTCAGAATGCTAAAACACATTGTTTAAATTTATGTTGAGGTATATTATAGTTATCTTTCCGCTAATGAAAGCGTAGTGAGGGTAAGTGGACATTTCATCAAGAAGGATTTTGAAAGCCTGTGTAAAATACAGGTTGGTGAAACACTTGTAGCATGGTTTTTTAATGTTTCAAAAAATATATTTATTTCTCTTTTGCTATGTTCATATATGAATTACATAAAGAAAAGCTAGTTTTGCAGTAAAGGATTTTAAATATATTCATTGCGCAGAAAACCCAAAGAACTGTTGAATGTAATGCCTCAGTTTTTTGACAGTTTAGAAGGTAGAGGTATCATTATCACTTGAAGTTTTTTTAATTAATGTAGACATGCAAAGAAAAGTTTCCAAGGGGAACCTCACAGTACTTCTCACCCCATTATATTCAGATTTCTATTTAGGAGCACCACATGAACCTGCAGCTGTTCTCAAGCTCAAGCTTTGTCCTCTCTGAAGCTTTAGGTGTTGGTGCCATCATGTGGGCGTTTCGTAGTTCATCTGCATGGTTTTCATTTTGGTGATTGTATTTATTTCTGTATCTTAGAAGAATGTCAGCAGTGCTGAGAGTAAAAGGTTGTAGATTTAGAGTGGTTCTGGTCAAATATACGAAATTATTTATGACTTGGACCTGTTCTGGAATTCTATTTGGATTTCTTTTTTTGAGACTCACGTGTGCCTTTTCCTCCCAACAGCATTTATATTACAAAAGTCATATATAAAACAAACAGCAATAAAATACTTTCCTTCCTATAATTTCCCTATGTTCTCTCCTACTATGTGGCACCTAGCTTTCAGTGTATCATAGTGATAAGGAAAAATGTTGATACATGCCTAATTTTATGATAAAATATTAAAGTGAAGAAAATGTATTTTTCATTGCTTTGCATGCATGAGCAGATCAGATTTGTCTGGATCATCTAAAAGAAATAGTTCTTGTGTTATTCCATTAAATTAATACTTTAAATGCTGACATTTTTGTTCAATAAGAAAAAATAATTTAGAGTTGGGGTGCTTTTTAAAATACCTTTCAGATTTTCTAATTTTTAGTGTATGTTTGTTATCTTTTAGCTATAAAGCAGTGAATGAAAGCTTTAACATATTCAGGGCTTTTCCCTGGCTATTAAAAGAGCAGTGGAGGGATAGCTCCTGATAGTGAAAATCTACCAAAGCAGTGTGTTATTTGATACTCTTTTTTATGAGATTTTCTGGCTTACATTCCTTAACTCTTAGCCTACATTATTCAGCATGCTTATCATGTGCACTATTTTGACCAACTGCGTATTTATGACCATGAGTAACCCTCCAGACTGGACAAAGAATGTAGAGTAAGTTAAATGGATTTTCTCTGAATACTATCCAGTAATCAGAAATAAACTGCTGTAAATTATATTAGGATGGCTTCCACTGGCAGTAGCTACCTTGTTGGGACATCCTATCAACAGCTATTCTGATGCTCTTTCATTTGCTCTAACATTAAATACGTATAATTGTCTCATGACAAATTCTTTAATGTCCTTCCTCTGTTTGCAGTGCTAGATGGAAAATGTAAGAAAAGCTATTCCTATGATCATACAGAAAAAGTGGACTATAAATATTTTTGACTTCATTCTGTGTCACATCTGTGCAAGAACGCAGGGAAATGCAGTCTTTCATCTCTGTTGTGATAACTGTTACAGATAAAGGGATCATCTTATGGATGGCTGTATTGATCACAAGGCTGCTTTCTCTTGCCAAAACCAATCTAGCAATGGAAAACTTGTATGCAAAATAAGCTATTAAAAAGTATTGAAATGGTTAGCTAATCATTGGTGCAATATGATGTCAGCTTGGCTAATTGGTCCAGTTGGATGTCAGCTGCGAGGTGCCGATGCACAATAACAGTTCCAAAGCTGCAGGACACAGTGCGAAACACTGTTCTTGGTGCTTCCTTTCTGCTGCTTCTTCATTCCTTAGTGCTTGGGCTGATACATACCTATTTAATCTTCAGAAATCAGAAGTGAAATCACAGGCCTATTAAGGTCAACAAAGACATTTTTATTTTGAGTTCAATGTGAACATCTATGTATTCAGGATATCTAGCGTGTAGTAAATATTTATGATAAAGATTCGTTGCTTGAATATTTCTTCATGTCCGTATATTGTGCCATTTAGAGTTAAAGCACATGTCCTCATCTGCGGAGTACAATTCTGCAGGAAATAAATTTTTTAGTAATTGAATGGAAAACTTTCATATCAGAAAGCTGTTTTCAAGTGAGCTCAGTTAGAGTAAGCTTTTTAAGCAGTTTAATTTGAATTCCTTTTCATTGAAGATATAAATTAAACTAAATTTCAGAATGACATCATTTGGACACAGAAGATTGAAATTACTCAGAATGGAAGAATTAAATATTTTTTCAATTTATATTTCAGCAACATTTTTTAGTCAAAATGAGTACCTGAATTTTATTGGCACTTGTAAATAATTTTTGTTGTTCTTGCACTTGTTTGATTCCAGTACATCTGTCTTGCTGAAGGCGAAGCACTGGATATATCTACTCTGTAACACAGTTACAGAGAAATGAGGACTGATGAGTGTTGGTGCTTGCCTACTCTTGGGACTAAGCAACATTTCAGCATAAAAAGAACATTGAAGAAAGGAATTTTTAGCCTCAAGTAACTTCTAAAACCCTAACATAATCGATCTGTGGGGTTTTTTTTAATAACATGGATTCAGACTAGTCTTAAACATGCTCCAATGAACTAACTGGGAATTTTGCATCTGTTTTATTGCATAGATTACAGAGGTTAAATTTAAGATGTGAGTTATCAGTCTTTTAATCCTAATTTCATTCCTCTTTTCTTATGGTATAAATTATGCAGATGTTAAAGTTGGTTGTAACTGCCACTATTTCGTATGCCACTTAAAGAGAAGAGAATTAGAATAAAACGAGAGCTTGAAGTGCAAAAGTAACGTGATCTATAAACTCTGTCTTGCATATTTTCCTCAGATACACATTCACTGGAATTTATACCTTTGAATCACTTATTAAAATTCTTGCAAGGGGCTTCTGTTTAGAAGATTTTACATTTCTCCGAGACCCATGGAATTGGCTAGATTTCACTGTCATTACATTTGCGTAAGTCTTCTACTTATTTTTTTAATAAAAATTCTTCCTGGTATCATGAGATTAGTGACTAAAAATTGCCTCATATCTTGTCAGCCAGAATATTTGGAGCCTGGACTTCCTGCAGTTTCAATATGTTTCTTCTACCTCTTTTACACATTTTAGAATTTCTAGCCAAGTATGTGCTGCGGAGGCCAGCATGGTGTGCCAGCCCATTAGGATTGTGAATGCCATCACCCTGAACTGTTCATATCCTGTCTCCTTTCTGCATACCAGAATTAAAGGAATCCTTTTGACTTCCTGCTAATAGCTGACCAGATTAGTTTTCAAACATCAAGTCAATGTGGTTTATTGTGATAAAACTTAATTTAATTTTATGGCCAGAAGCATATTTATAACACAGGCAAAATACAGTGAACGGTGAAAAGGTCTTGCTCAAAGACCCAAGCAAGTAGAATAAAATCTGCCTCAATTCTGAGTAATTGTGATTTAATCCTACAGGTATGTAACAGAATTTGTAAACCTAGGCAATGTTTCAGCTCTTCGAACTTTCAGAGTATTGAGAGCTTTGAAAACTATTTCTGTAATTCCAGGTAAGAAGTAGTTGGTGTAAGGTGTTAGGCCCCTTGTATCTCCAACTGTTATTTGTGTGCTGTCATTGTGTTTGTGTGTGAACTCCCCTATTACAGATATGTGACAGAGTTTGTGGACCTGGGCAATGTCTCAGCGTTGAGAACATTCAGAGTTCTCCGAGCTTTGAAAACAATATCAGTCATCCCAGGTGAGAGCGAGGTTAAACACCGAGGCTGACTTTTGTTCTACAAAGGCTGTACTCACATTTTCAAAGCATAAGCCTTGTTTGCTACACATTGTCAGCAAATAAAAAAAGCAGGAATCAAGACATGTAATTTTATTTAAATTGATTCATGCTTGTATTAGTTGTATTTTCTTCTAAAAAAAAAAAATCAGCCTTTGAGTTTAACAAATTCTTGCATGAGATATTTGCAGTAAACAGCCTATGTGATTTGCATCTTATAACATCAAGCTTTCCTTTATATGTTTTAAATATAAGTTAATTTTTAGCTTTCATACTGATGCAAATTTTCTCATTTATTGAGGGCACTTGATATAGCAAATTAATTCAGTTTTAAGTTATGTAAAAAAAATTAAACTCTAAATGATAGCATGGGCCATGCATGGGATATTGTTCTAAAGATGTCTTTCTTCTCCAAACCATCACCCCTCATATATTGTAACAAGATTATTATTATATCATTTCAATATGTACATATGTCTTTAAAGTGGGGTTACATTAATATAGAATACATTGCAAAAGTTCATAAAAGAAAGGTTTGGGCAAGAAGCATCAACAAAAGCAAACAATGCTATTCTGTGTAGGGTTGAGATATAGCATGAATAATAAAATCACTTGTTTTGGCATAAACAATGGTACTATCTACTTTTTATTTTTGTACACTATAAAATAAGTATAAACTTACATATTTTCATTCATCTGTCCAAATAATAAGGCTTTTCTTTAAAATTACTGTGTCACAAATTACTAGTCTTTTTGCATGAGATATTTATCAAGAAAAAAAGTAACATGAATTTTTGTGTGTATTTAGTATCTATTTAACATCATAATAAAAATCTTTTCCCTTTGCAGGCCTGAAGACTATAGTGGGAGCCCTGATTCAGTCTGTGAAGAAGCTCTCGGATGTGATGATCCTGACTGTGTTTTGTCTGAGTGTATTTGCACTGATAGGGCTGCAGCTGTTCATGGGCAACCTGAGGAATAAATGCCTGCAGTGGCCTCCAGACAATTCTACTTTCGAAACAACGGTTATTTCCATCTTTAATAGCTCTATAGGTGAAAATGGTACATTTATTAATGCAACAATGACAACATTTAACTGGGATGAATACATCGAAGACAAAAGTAAGTGTTAATTATATCATCTACTGCATTGATTTTATGGTCTTGATTTAAACATATTTGAGAACATTAATATCTTTCCCTTGCATTTAAAAGAGTGTAATATGGCAAGAAACATAAAACTACTCATTTTTCTCTAGTAAATAAAAGCAGTCATTATGTAATTTAACACTTATACTTGTTAGCAAAATATCTTTTTCTTTCACTGAATATGACTTTTAGAGTAAAATCATGTTGCAGCATAAACCAGAAATTTCTGTGCTATCTTCAGGCCTCCTGAAATAGTGTGACAACCCTATCATGGGATCTGAAATGTAGTAGCTAGGTTAGTGCAAGATAGTGCCCAATATCATAAGCCCACATCTGAACATCAGCTAGCCCAAGAATCCCACCAGAGCACATTAATGTGGCTACAGTGCTCCTTCTGCAGTTGGGTGAGTGGATCTGCACCGCACACCCTTGCACAGCACAGACACACCTTTAAGAGAATATTGCTGATTTACCCCAAGATTCTTGCAAAATAAGAACGAAATTTCATATTTATGTCTTTTAATTTATTTCTTATCTTTGGAAAATCAAGAAATGAGCACTTTTTTTCTCTTTTGTACCTCATATTGTGCTATTTCTACTATTTTCAGTAGTTAATGTTAGTACTGTGTTAACAAAACTTGTTTAAAAATTCAGATAGAACAACTCTGAACATATCTATAGTAGATGGCTATTTTGTCTTTCATAATAGTATTGTCAATCTCTCCTATTTATCTGTTCAGCCCTTTCTATTTCCTTTAGTGTATTATTAATTATATTTAATATATTCATAATTAGGAGTAATATAGGTTTTTATAAAGTCTGTATATGTGTTTTAACCGGTGACTATATGAATGAAAGCTAGGAAACCTCAGCTGAAGAACGAAATGCTTTTGGATCCAAGTCTCATTGTCTTATAATCTTTTAATATACTTATAATTTCAGCACGCTTGAAATATACAAATGTCATGCAGGAATTTTGGATGATAACCTATTTTTAAAGCCACGTGATGAACAGAATACATTCTATTTCCCTATAGTTGTTTATGGTACCATGTCACACAAATAGAAAGGGTTTTTTTCTAAGTACATGGTTTACATTTTCCTAATTTCTGATTGAATATATTACTACATCTGCTGTGGACTTAGAAACAAGAAAATCATAGACAACTTTATATTAGTCTTTATACAGTTTAAAAATTCTTATCCTCTGCATTTCTGGTCTTTCGTAAGCCAAGCAATCCTATTTTCTGTTTTGCATTTTCAATACCTATTTTTTTTATTTCTTCTAATCTTTACAATTAGTCTGGCATTTTTTCCTTGTTGTTTTTATTTTGCCTTTTTTTGTTACAGGTTTGTTTCTTTTTTGCATGGGTTTCTAATGACATCCTCAAATTGAATGCTAACTCCTCAAGTAATTACTACTAATTTGTATCTTTACCTCATGCCATATATGCAACATTCCTATTAACATATTTCAAAATTACCTCATTTTTATATCAGCCCTGTATTGTTCATTCACAGTCAATTTTTATTTTGCAGCAGTTATTCCATCTTTTTGTACAGTGGTGGCTGCAGCCACATCCTGATATTTTGTATTTCCGTATTTGATTTTGCCTTGTAAAGTGTAGCATTTTACGCTTGTCTCTATTGAAATAAATCCAATTGCTTTTGGACAAACTTGTCAATTTGTAAAGGTCATTCTAAAGTTCAGATACCTTTTCTCCTAATCTTATGTCTTCAGAATACTTGATGCACCTTGTTTTTTTTTCTGTTGTTTCATGTCTTGAGTTGGTAATGGAACTTTTTAGAAAAGCATGTCTAGCACAGATACCTGGGACATCTTCAGAGAAGGTACCCTGATGAATTGGCGTTGAATCGCTGACAGCTGCTCTCTGCTAACTTTTTTCAAGTATTTTGTGGTATTTCCAGAACATATCCTTTATTTGTATCTGGAAGTGTCATATAGGACTTGTACCCATGACTGTTCCATTATTAAGCTGGCAGAAGACAGGAATAGTTTTGTATATGGCATATTTTCTACAAACTCATATTTAATTTTTTTATTACTTTATCATTATTATTTTTGTACTAAAAAAAAATCTTATTTGTTTTCCAAAGTAGTGGATTGAAAGTGGACCTGTGCCACATAAGAATGTGAATTAGGCCCACAGACAGTTTTGCAAGTTCTGGTTGGAGCCTGTCTGCATCTTTAAATTTATTTTTAAGTAGTGGTCAGATGTCTCACAGAGTCTGGCTGTGATCACCAGAATATCTGAAAATACACTGATTTTAGATATGATATTTGAGAATATTATAATTGCAGATATATAAATTATGGACATAATTTCTCTCTCTGTTTAAAATAAGCAAATTTTATGCTGCCTCTATCTTATACGGGTGGTGACATAGTAGAAGTAGTCAATAGGAACTGGTTGCAATTCCCTGCTTGTCTGTTTAGCATTAGCCCTCAGTTCATGCCAGCTAAACTAGTCCATGCCAGCTGGCAATGAATCTCACGGAACCATCTGTTTCCTGAGAACAGCCAGAACATACCTAGTTCTAGCATCTTTAGCTTAATGTGCCACCTGACCCAAAAATCTCCATTAGAGATTCCCATTTTACCCTAAGAATTGCAAACTAGGAATTGATGGCAAAATGTGTTTCCCTTTCTGCAGCAAAGAAAGAAAAATATAATAAAATAGAAGAGTGTGTTGGGGGCTTTTAGGCCTTCTGTCTCTTTTTATTGCATTTTACCTCATCTTAATATTTAGCCTAAATGTTCAAGTGCATTCACCTGCTACAGAATTTTGTGTATTAGTTTTGTGTAAGGTACATCAAATGCTTGATTTTTCCCCCAGCTCCTCAAATCAAGATCCAATTAGAAATTTCTTGAGCATGTTGTGTTATCAGAGAATCAATGGGATTGGAAAAGAACTTTGAGATCATCTGGCCTAATCTGTGACTGAACACCACCTTGTCAACTAGACCATGGCACTGAGTGTCACATCCAGTCTTTCCTTAAACACCTCCAGGGATGGTGACTCCACCACTTCCCTGGATAGTTCATTCCAATGTTTAATCAGACTTTCTGTGAAGAAATTGTTCCTTATGTCCAACATAAACCTCCCCTGGCACAGCTTAAGTCCTCTCATCCTGTCACTGGGCGCCTGGGAGAAGAGACCAACACCCCCGGCTATTCCCTCCTGACAGGGAGTTGTAGAGAATGATAAGGCCTCCCCTGAGCCTCCTCTTCTCCAGGCTAAACACCCCCAGCTGCCTCAGCTGCTCTTCACAGGACCTGTGCTCCACACCCTTCACCAGCTTCATTGTCCTTCTCTGGATACACTCCAGCACCTCAATGTCCTTTCTGAACTGAGGGGCCCAGAACTGGACACAGCACCCGAGGTGTGACCTCACCAGTGCTGAGTACAGGGAAAAAAAATCTCATCCCTAATATTTCAGGTTTTTTTTTCAAGGAACACTTGGATAAAAAAATATGTAATTGATAATTATAAATTAATAGCAATAAATGTTATGTATCAAAATGCACAAAGAAAGGCACAGAATTGCCCTCATCCTTTACCTCATTTTCCTGGTATTTTTTTTGATTTGCTAAAATACATAATTTGGTATTCCACCCCTTGTATCTTATAATTTGGTTAGGTTGCTAAGAATTAACTGCATAACTAACTTCCGATTTTCTAAAGAAAGGCTAACTTGAAGATTCTGTAGAAAGTAATTTTCTTGTCAAAACAATGCTTCCCATTTTTTTCATTCCTAACCACTATATATTGCAATTGAACAGTTTTTTAGCTCTGCTAATTTCTTTCAAGTGTAAAAGTCTATATGATTGTTCAATTTTCATTAGGCATAAATATTATCTTTCTCATCAACTTTTTGATTTTCTTTTTTATTTTAACAGGTCATTTCTACTTCTTGGAAGGACAAAATGATGCACTGTTGTGTGGCAATAGCTCAGATGCAGGGTAAGAAAATTATCATCATTTTTCATTATGCATCAAAGAAAAATAATTAGCTACTTAGAATAGCTCAGGCAGTCAACTTTAATATCAACCGTACTGTAGAGTTGCAAATTACCAATGTTTTGCATTTGAAGCTATACCTGAATACAACCATCTCTGTGATTTGAATTTACACAGGCACTTCCATCAGCCTCTTAGGCTACTTTTCTAAAGGTAACCACATGAATGATCTGTGCATAAATGTTGCTGCCAACTTGCTAACAACTGTTTATCAGCCATGCTACTTGATGTTTTTCTCTTGTCCTGATGAAAATGTGTTATAACAAGTTGTGGGGAAGGGTAGAATACTATTAGTTATATTATTAAAGTATTGAAATATTATTAGGAAGTGGAATTAAAAAGTGAAAAATAATAAGCTATATATTTTTATCTTAGGTATGTAGAATATCATTTTACTTGTTCATAATTTCGTTAGCAACTGGTACTCCTGAACAATTTTGTTTTACTGCAGCATATCGTAATATAGAGTAGTTGTTAAAAATAGCATTTCCTCTTCTTTTGTAGTCAATGCCCAGAAGGATATATATGTGTGAAAGCTGGCAGAAACCCCAACTATGGCTACACAAGTTTTGATACATTCAGTTGGGCATTCTTGTCACTGTTTCGATTGATGACTCAGGACTTTTGGGAGAATCTTTACCAGCTGGTGAGGACTTATTAAAATAAACAGCACCATCACCAATACCATTACTACATAGTACTTGCATAGTTATTTTCATTCACTTGTCCCTAAGGCCTTTGGAACAGAATTCATCTTTAATTTCATATATGTAAACTGTTGTCTAAAACAATAAGGCCCTTATTCATGGTTTAGGTTCCCATGTGCTTCTTAAATACATTATAAGGAGTAGCTGTTATTTTATGAAGATGGTTTTATTTACCTCAATGAATAAAAGAATTTAAGTTGTTAAAGTTTCTTATCTAAACATGCTTTAAGTAGATTCTGTGTTAAATTGATTTGCAGTCTAGTAAATATATGTTTTGTTTGAAAAGGTTACATCTTGTTCCTGAACTACACATATCCTTACCTGAAGGACTGTAATTTTCTCCACTGTAACATTTTGTATAATGTACTATTTTTGTGGCAGTGTAGTTTGGGACTGATGACACAGGAAGGTAAGATGCTGATCAGTGGCCCCACCTACTGTTAAATCTAAATGCTGTTATGTAGATGTATAGATTCTTATTGGTACAAGTTCTGAACTATTCAGAACTGGATTTACCTTGACAAGAGTAGACACAAAAATTTTCCATATGTATTCAGAATATAATATTATTTCTATAAGGAAAAAGTAACTAAATAATCTTGTGCTAACATAAATCAATCTTGGAATGTATTTCTAAATTATAATGCAAAGGCTAACTTAATATTCAAGAGTAGTTAAAGTCTGTTAAAAAAGTGTGTTATCTCTTTTTCTCCAGACTCTGCGTGCTGCTGGGAAGACATACATGATATTTTTTGTTTTGGTCATTTTCCTGGGTTCTTTCTACCTTATTAACTTGATCCTGGCTGTGGTTGCCATGGCCTACGAAGAACAGAATCAAGCAACAATGGAAGAAGCAGAGCAGAAAGAGGCAGAATTTCAGCAAATGCTGGAACAACTGAAAAAGCAGCAGGAAGAAGCTCAGGTATCCCTGTAAAGTAAAATTTCTTCTTCAGTTCATGACTGTGAACAGTCATGCTTTATGTCCACACATGAGAATAATTTTTACTCCCTTACTCCTAACAATGTATTACTGTGTCTCATAAATTCCTTCATATTGTAAAGAATCTCTAATGTTTTCCACTGCACTGTTTTTGCTGGTTTGAGTGAACTTGTTAATTTTGTGACAAAAATAATAACCAACAAGCTAAAGTGCTGGATTTTCAAACTGGAGATCGAAATTAACTTTTTAATGGAGCACTTGTTCAAGTTCCCCAGAGTGCTTGTGGAGATAATCAAAAGCCATCTGGATATGGTCTTTGAGCAGCCTGCTTTAGGTGACCCTGTCTGCTGGAGAGGTGGACACGATGACCTCCAGAGGTTTCCTTCCAACCTGAACCATTCTGTGATTGTCTGAAATGGAGGTGGAGATGTGGAAAAAATCCAAAGAGTAATTTTGCTTAAATAAGTAACAGAAGCAAAAATATTGTAGGTGATGGTGCTTCAGCAATATTTGGCTTTTTCTACTCCCTGCCCATCTCTAACAGCAGAAAGCCATAGCTTTCCAGTTTTAAAGAGAATTGGAAAAAGTGGAGAAACCGAAGAAAACACTTCTGTGGTACAAATGTAATGATTACATACTGCTTTGAAATTCCTTTTCATTTTTTGAAGGCTCTCAAGTCTTTAATAGAAAAATTTATAATGTCTGCTTGGCATGTGGTGACATAGAGCAGAAGTTGAACTATGTCTTCCATATAAGCACATGACTAAAGTCAGCAGTCAGGGTTTTTTGTTTCATTGGTCAATTGCTACCTGTTGGGGGGGGATTGTGGGAATTTTTTGTTAGTTTTTTTTTACCACAGCTTGTAAATAAATGTTAATAAAAAGCTCCACATGTTTTGAAAATCAAACAGCAACAAGTATGTAATAGTGTGTAGTTTAACACAAATCTCTGATTATTATTTGCAAAACTGAGATATCAGTATTACACAAGATCTTTAATAGACAAGGGAGTATTCAAAACCCATCAAAATGTTGTAAGAAAGTGTTTCTTCCTGTTAACAGGGATTTTACCACCTGTTTGAGCCTTGATTCTTTATTTTTACATAGTACTTCAGATGAAAAATTCATCATGACATATTGCTTCAATCTGAAACAGATGCTTTTTAACTCAGTTTTTTGACAGCACAGCTTTCCCATGGGTTTCTCTTGCTCCTGGTTTATGGAGCAGTGGCAAATTATGGTTCCTTTGGTATTTCACAAATTATACTTCTTATGATATGCTGGGTTTGGTGAAGTGGAAACATTGCTTTTATTTCAAAATAATAATTTCTTTAAGTGTGGCAATAAATGTGAAATAGTGAGTGGTGTATGTATTTGTATAAATGCTGTAAATTGCACATGTGCTTGTGTGTATAGGCGGCGGCAGCAGCTGCAGCAGCTGACTCCAGAGATTATAGTGGAGTAGGTGGAATAGGTGGATTCTCCGAAAGTTCTTCTGAGGCATCAAAACTGAGCTCAAAGAGTGCTAAGGAGAGAAGGAATAGAAGAAAGAAAAAAAAGCAAAAAGAACAGTCTGAAGGCGAGGAGAAGGATGGGGAAGAATTTCACAAATCTGAATCAGAGGACAGCATCAAAAAGAAAGGTTTCCGATTTTCCATTGAGGGGAATAGACTGACATATGAAAAGAGATTCTCTTCCCCACACCAGGTACCATAGTATTATTACCTCTTAAACACCTTTTTTGTCTACTCATCATATAAAGAAAGCCATGTATGGTAGTTTGGTTAATTCTTGAAAGATACCACAGATTCATTAATACCCTAAATCAAATATTAACCAAGTTAAAACTGCAGCCAAATATGGAACTGTAAGAATTGGAGAGATTTTGGTTTTACTCTGAATTCCTGTGTGATAAATCAAAATCACATATATTAATTAATATTAGCTGTATTTCAAGCTTCTTAATTAAAATGGACCTATCTCCCCACAGAGTTGGATGTGTTCAGCATGATGAGTAGCTTCAAAACATGGTGCATTCATACAAAACATAATGTTTCAAATGAGGAGAGTATCAAAGTTTGGGAAGCAAAAAGCTCAATAGAAATTACATTAATGCTCATGTGAAATTTGAGAAATTAATTGATGTGAAACTATTAATTGTTTTTTTTTAAAGGTGGAAATGTGTGTGTGGCAATGTGTCTTTGCATGTGTTCTTACATTGAAACACCAGTGACTCAGAGTGCCATCTGCATCTCTCATCCAGACATTTATTTCATTTGGTAGTTTTGTAATGTTATCTCCTACAATTTTCAAAGCTTCTCTTCATTTGCCCACTTCTCACTCTCCCCTTAGCACTGCAAATCCAGATCTTGCATACATTCTCTCCTTTTCCTGCCCCATTTTGTGCCTCAATATGCTTCTTCCTTTTATCTCCACCTTCGCAATTTTCCCTGGTTTTTATGACTTGCTTTCTCCCTCTTTTTAGTCATTATTACTAAACTCATTCCTGCCTTTTTAATCCTCTTCTATTTCTGTCTCTGGAAAGCCTGTTTCATCTCTTAATAGATTATGAGTGTTCATACTCTCTTCATGTATTGTTTTCTCCAGCCTCCCATTCTCAAAGAAGCTCAGACCTCTTCATCCAATATTTTCTTACTAAAGACTGTCTTCCTTAGACCAGACTGTGGTGGGAATATAATGTTTCTGGCTTTCTATTTCTGCCACTCTTTCCACTCACTTCCTAATGTTTTTCCTTTATCAATAGTAATGCATCCTTCCCCCCACCCCACCTCCTTGGTCTGCCACCGTTTTATGTTGTTAACTGTCTAACTAATCTCTGTGAGATTCATCACTGAATTTAGTTCATGATTCATTCTGTTCCTTATATGAATTTTCACACATGTCAATTGACTTCAACTTCATGTTGAAGATCCATCTGATCCCCTAGGTGCATAATCTTGCCTATCTCTTTATTCAAACTGCAGCCTTATTCAACTGCAGCTCAATTAATCCATCCTGTAAGAAATTAAGCATTCCTCATACAACTTGTTCTTCTAACATTTTCATCTCTAAGTTCATTTACAATTGTTTGACTATGACAGTCTAGAAATCACCTCCCCTTTGGTTTTCCAGCCCTAGTTCCTTTTCACTCTGGATTCTAACCACTAAACAGAAGTGCCACTCACCATTTTTTAATACCATTTTCCTTGAGAAAACTCAGGCTTATATATCATCTTTGACTTTTTCCTTGGCATTTCATTTTCTTTCAATGTAAATGACCATTTTATTCCTCTTGAAAACTTATTCTTCCTAACATTCATAACTTTGTCTCCTCTCAATTCTCCTGCTTTAGTTGTGCTTTAGGAGCTCCTTTTACCCCTTTGACAGTTTTTCAAGGGATTTCCACAAGGTCTTTTGCTAGATCCCCTTTTCTCTCTTTTTCTTTTCTTTTTTCTTTTTTTTTTTTTAAACTCTAATCTGGACCCACAACTGTGAATCATTTTTAACTTGGACCTCTTTACTGCTGTATTCATCAAGAATGTTGTTGCAAAGAGCACTAACCTATCCCATGGCTTTTCTCTAATCTGCTAGTAAACATATTTACCTAAAGAATTTTATTTTTTTTTTAATATCATAAAATATACTGTACCTAAAGTTCCCAACCCACCTTGTCTACTTACAGTAAACAAGTCCCAGCTTTGACCAACCCAAACCAGCATTCATAACCTCCTGTTAAATTTTCAAACTAGTTTCTTTGAGCTCTTTCTGGTATGCTGCCCTTCATGCTTGGAAGAAGCTCCCATGAGTTTTCACAGAACACTTCATTGCTTTCCTCAAATCCCTCTTTAAAACTCTCTTTTACCATGCTGCCTACAGAAAGCTTGACAGGGAAGTGACTTCAGGTGAGCTAAGATGACTGTTTATCATACTCATCAATTTTGCCTCTGTGTATTCCCTCTCTTTATGTATCCATCTGTTGTGTTACATTTAAATGATAAGTTCTTTACAGAGTGCCTTTTTATTCTGCATTTTGCAGTCCCTAGTACAATGGGGCTCAGGTCCACAAAAATAAGTTGCAGAAGAGAAACAAAGACACTGCTTCGTTATGTATCATCTCTGCTGTTCATAGAGGTCTTGGGTGAAATCAGGTGCTAATACTTAGCAGTCAAGTCAAGGCAATTACTGATATGAATTAAAATTAAGAACGTGTATAATTAATTGTAAGATTAGAGCATTATTTTGACTCTAATACTGGAGATCCTCCAATAGCAGGTTGATCATTTACGCCTATGATAGAAAATTTATTCCTATGAGTAAACTGATGAAGATTAGCAAACCCGTTCATACAAAATTACAGGCAAATCGTTGCATTTTCAGGATAGCTAAGACTTTAAAAAAATATAAGAAACCTATTATGACCTACTTGATTAATATCTGAAAAGATATGTATGTTTTTAAACTAGGCAGTATTTGGGAGGTACTTCTGTGTGCAGACTGAGTCACAGAAAACTTGCCTAAATTTTTATTTACTCTGCCTGTCATACTAATGCCAGCCTGAGGTAAAAAGTGTCCAGATATACTTATTCAGTTTATGAACAGTTGGTAATAACACAGGCAGAATAGCAGAGGAAACAATTCTGTCAAGCAGTTTCTTTTACTCTAATTAAACTGATTGATTTCATATATCCAAAGCAGTAAAATAACTAGTCTTTGTCTGTCACTTATGTGCTCTTTGTTTAGTACCCAAAAGGGAGTGTATTAGGGGGGGGGACTGTGCCAGTTCATTTCTTTGTAGATGACCTTACCCTTTAAAACATTGTGGATTTTTCCTCTGTATGAAAATGTTGTATTTTGAAGGACTTTCATCTGATAATAATCATTTTTATTTACCTGCAGTCTTTGCTGAGCATTCGTGGCTCCCTGTTTTCCCCAAGGCGCAACAGCAGAACAAGTCTTTTCAGCTTCAGAGGTCGAGCAAAAGATGTAGGATCAGAAAATGACTTTGCTGATGATGAGCACAGCACCTTTGAAGACAATGAGAGCAGGAGAGATTCTCTCTTTGTTCCTCATAGACATGGTGAACGGCGCAACAGTAACATTAGCCAGGCCAGTAGGTCATCCAGAACAGTACCTGCACTTCCAGCAAATGGGAAGATGCACAGCACTGTGGATTGCAATGGAGTGGTTTCTTTAGTTGGTGGGCCACCAGCTTTGACATCACCTACGGGACAGCTTCTGCCAGAGGTGATGATTGATAAAGCAGCCACTGCTAGCAATGTAAGAAAGTCTGCAATAGCTCAGGCATGATGTTCTCTCCCTGTATGATCAGTCACTGTTTCCACACAATGTAGTCACACAGCAGTGATGACCTTCCTGGCTAAGCTGTGAATGCTTCTTTCATATATTCCAGCTATAAGCTAAAGGAGAAACTGAAATTTTCCGGCTCTCATTAATAAAATATGTGAAAATGCATGTGAATTGACTGGGAACAGAATAGCATAGTAAACCACTGAATAAATTTAGTTTGTGTAGTCTTACACCCATTGATTCATTATGCTTGGACTTAACTAGATGGTTCTGTACTTGTATATCAGAAAGGATATCAAAATGGAAAAAAAATTAATTACATTTACTTAATTGAATGTATTAAATAAATATTTAGCTTCCTGCTGTACATACGTGAAACTTTTGATGTTACCCTGGTAGTACAATTTTCAAGGGTTATGATAGTGTTCCTGTAATATAGCTAATATTTTTATGGGTTTTTTAATATCAACATTACTAAATATTTTTTCATTTGTTTGAAAAATGTGCTAGGAAATTCCTGGTTTATTATAAATTAAGAGTTATCTTAAGAAAATACACTTATGCTTAATTTCTTTACCACTAGGTGTGTGGGCTGTGCATTTTCATGTTTAGAAAAAGACTTCACTGCCTAAATGGAAAGATATTTACAGCAAAGCTCATTGACAAGCATTGTGGAACATTTTTTAGTCTGAAAACTGCTTTAATATCTCAGCCCTGTTCCAGCAAAATACTTGAAAACATATTCTTCAGGCACAAAAGCAATACACTGCAGTGTTTGACTATTTCTGTACAGTCAGGCATGCCTTAGTTTGTTGGGAAGCCTCAGTATAACTGGAGTATGGTGTGGGACAGCAGTGTTTAAATCAGTAGAGCCCTACAGTAACTTACAGTGTTATTACATGTACAATCAATTAGCTATTTCATCAGTGTTTTATTTTCAGGGCACTACTACAGAAACTGACTTAAGAAAAAGACATTCTAGTTCTTACCATGTTCCTATGGACTACCTAACAGACCCTAGTGCGAGGCAAAGAGCAATGAGTATAGCCAGCATGCTTACAAACACAATGGAAGGTATGTAACACAGATTTTTTTTTTATATGACTGTGCCTTAAAATTGCTATTAAATGTGTGCTACATTAAGCAGTAGTGATGTTTTAAGACAGCTATTTCAGCCTAGAGGATATAGACAAGAAGAGATTTCTATATGGAGCTAGGGATGGGATTTTTTGTGGTTTGTTTTTTTTTTTTAATTTGGGACTGATAAATTTGGGAAAAGAGTCAAGCTTACAACTTATACTAATAAGTTTGAGGTAGAAGTAGCAAGTTTCCAATTTAAATGCAAGCAAAACCGATTATTCAATGTAGTCTTTCTCTAGTGAAGTTATGTTTTGGGGTAAGCTCTTTTTAGGTTGCTGAAATGGCTGTTTCTTGAAGTAGAACAATCCCTTTCTATCAATTCATAGATTCGCTGTTTCACAAAAGAGGGATCATGTTCTTCTTTCTGTAAGGTTAAATACAATTACTTTGAATCATAGAATTAAGCAACTATTTGTAAGAAAGGGTGAAGCATTATGTTGAGGCTTAAATGACTATGCCCAAAATAGAAAATTGGAAGGTAATAATGAGCAGTTGTGCACATGTGGACCATAATGCTGCCTAAATACTTGTTGGACTTCAGGCTTGTTCTAAATGCTTATCTTTCATGAGGAAATTTTAAAATATTTTATTGCAAGGGACCTTAAAGATCATCTAGTTCCAACACCCCTGCCATGGACAGCAACATCTTTCACCAGAGCAGATTTCTCAAAGCCCCATGCAACCTGGTCTTGAACATGTCCAGGGATAGGGCACCTACAGTTTCCCTGGGCAACCTGTGCCAGGGCCTCACTGCTCTCACAGTAAAGAATTTCTGCCTACTACCTAATCTAAACACACCATCTTTCTGTTTACAGCTGTAAACCCTCACTCTATCACTTTGCTCCCAGATAAAGGCTCCCTCTCCATCTTCCCTGCAGGCCCCCTGTTAAGTACTGGAAGGCTGCAATAAGGTCTGCTTGGAGCCTTCTCTTCTCTAGATAAGCAGCCCCAGGTCTCTCAGCCTGTCTTCACAGGCCATGTGCTCTGGCCCCTGAATATCTCTGTGGCCTCCTCTGAACCTGCTCTTGTGCTGGGAACCCTAGAGCTGAACACAGCACTCCAGCTGGAGAAGAGGAGAACTCCTTCCCTCAGTCGGCTGGCCATGCTGCTTTTGATGCTGCCCAGGAAGATATTGGCTCTCTGGGCTGTGACTGACATGGTTGGCTCACACACAGTTTTTCAGCCACCAATCACCCCAAGTCTTTGTCTGCTGGGCTGCTTTCAATCCCCCTCATCAGCCAGCCTTATGACAGGTTTCTAAGACAAATTTATCTTTTGCATTCTATATAGCATTAGCTCATGTATGGTTCTTTTATCTACTGAAACTTCAGTATAATTGTATTGAGTGCTTTTCGGGAGATTTTTTTTGGTGTTTGTTTTGTTGGTTTTTCGTTTTTTTTTTGTTTTTAATAATTTTAATAATTAAATTTTAAATAATTTAATAATTTTAACTTGTAATTTATTTTAACTGAAAGCAGTCTTAGTTTCAAAATATCAACACAGTTTATCAGATGTACCTTGGAAAACAGAATTTAGACTTAAAGGAAATACCCAGGTGACTCTGGAATAGAGAAATACATGGAAAATGTTATTTTCATTTTTCTCTCTAGAACTGGAAGAATCCAGACAGAAATGTCCACCATGCTGGTATAAATTTGCTAACACTTGCTTGATTTGGGACTGCTGTACTCCCTGGCTGAAAGTCAAGCACATTGTAAATTTGATTGTGATGGACCCTTTTGTTGATCTGGCCATTACCATCTGCATCGTCCTAAACACCCTGTTCATGGCCATGGAGCACTACCCAATGACAGAACAGTTCAGTGGTGTGCTTTCAGTAGGAAACCTTGTAAGTCTTTCATGATGTGCCATGTATGTAAAATGCATTTTTCTTTAGTTCTTTTGTGACTTATGCACATTCATGTAAAAGAAAGTTGACTAGAGGTTTGGTATTATTGAACCTAAATTTTTTGTTGACATTTGTAAATTTTGCCAGTCTTACTTTACAGAGCAAAGATGTACTGAGTCAGTGTGCATTTTGATTTTTAAAATCTTCATCTTCTGTCATTGAAGCTCATTAAAGGATTTTTTTTCTTGATGGATAGTTACAAATAATAAAAACTTTCTGATCCATTCCCATACATGTTTTGCTCCTCACTAGCACCTCCTAAGGATCTATGTGTTCAAGGAATTTTAGAGGGGAAAGACACAGTAAGCATGGCAGATGTAAGGGAATTATGAAAGAGAATGCTAATGTTTTCCACAGGCCATCCTGAAGAAGAACAGTTCTGCTCAACTTTCTGTATAATTCTTTTCTTAATAAAATAAGTTTATAATATGAACAATTATCTTTATCCCTGGAAGTAAAAAGGTGGTATAAGGGCAAAGATGAGCTCTAAGAAGACAAAAATTACTATTAAAATCAGATTATATTCTGTGTATTGGCATACATATATATTAACAGTTTAGATAAAAACTGTGTTTTCCCATTTACCTCTTATTTTTTTAGACTCAAACATTGTGATGCATATGTGAGCTTCAAATATGAATTTTATTCCTAACCCCAGTGTATGGAAATATTGAGAAGATATTCAGATTTATCATTAATTTATTGTTGAAAATATATCTTAGCACATGTTGATACCATTAGTTTTACTTTCTAAATATTTTCTTCCTAAACTGGACTAAGAAACTGTATTTTCCTTCCAGGTGTTTACTGGAATTTTTACAGCAGAAATGTTTCTCAAGATAATTGCCATGGATCCTTATTATTATTTCCAAGAGGGCTGGAATATTTTTGATGGTTTTATTGTGAGTCTTAGTTTAATGGAACTTGGCCTTGCAAATGTAGAAGGATTATCTGTCCTTCGATCATTCAGATTGGTAAATATACTATTTAAAGTTTCTATACTGTTTCTATATTAAATTTTTCTATTTGTACATATATATTTTGTGCATTTTTCATTTTCAAATTGAATATTTGGCTGAGACAGAAAATCTATTTAGAACTTACAAAATGCTACATTGCATCATCACAAGATGGCACATGTATATATTATGTCAGGTTTGTTTTGCATGTTATCTTATTAATGTCTATTTTTCTTTCAAGATACTGTCAACATCAATTCTATTCTTGCTGAAAGTATGCTTAAAGAAGTAACTTCTATAATAAAAGTATTCTTAGCGTCGTCTCCCTGGATGAGGGAGTAAAAAAAAGCAAGAGCCACAGGGCCCTCAGTACTTGTGACTGAAGATTAGTGAATTGCTTGGTAGATAATGGGTTAATTAATAAAAGTTTCTTGACAATTTTAGCTTATAGACTTCCATTGCCAATTGCCTTTCTTGCTTAGTTTTAAAAGAGAGTAGTGTTAAGATTTTTCATTGTTCAGGGGCTTTTCATCCCTACCAGCTTTCTCCTACTATCCTGTGCAAGGGTCTGTCTGCCGTGTAACAGCTTGTCTGTTCAGAAGTCAGTACAGTGTCTCTGTCTGTTACTAGATACCTCTTTCATGAATAGGAACTTGAAAAACCTTGGTCTTGCTTCAGACTAGACTAGCATGCAATTCAGTGTCCAAACACTCTTCAGAAAAGAGCCTACACAGTGAGAGATATGAAGCTAGAGGTCCTGGTCATCAAGCTCAACTTCTGCCTTAAATAAAAAAAAAATATTTAACTTGAAAGTTAAATATATTCCTTTTAAGAAATAAGGGGTTTTAAATATGTGTTTTCTGGTTGTCTGCATAGCATTATATTGTACTTTACCTAAAGTCTAAACTCTGTCTGGATTGACTTCTCTCTCATTTGTAGATTCTGGTTTTAACTTGACATTTGTGTATTTTCTTTATAAAACATAAAATCACCACATGAAATAATATTTAGTTTTATATTCCTTTTATTATTGTCCTCTTTCAATTGTCTGAAAAAAATCTGTATCTCTCCAATAATTTAACTTTTGTGTGTTTCAAGTGGCACTTAATAATATAATGCTTTGCTTTTTTTTCCTAAATGTTGTATAACAAGCTTTGTAAGCCACATTGCATTTATTTTAAATTACAGAAAATATATTGTTAAAGATACTTGCAAATCACCTGTATGTCTGTCATTAACAACTCTAGCTTGCTTCTTTCTTTAGGAAAACCATTTCCTCCATCTCACTGCCTGTTACGATGAAAGAAACTGGGAGTGACTATACACTTACGGTCCTGTTAAACTGATCTCATTTCATATGTGCTAATTTATTTTTAGTAATATTTTCTCAGAGGAGAAAGACTGTTTTGTCCAACTTCTTTAACAAGTACAACTTCTTTATAAATACCTGAAGTCACCAAAAGAGTCAAAGTCTGAATTGGAGTCTTTGTGATAATTTCAATGTAATTGAAATGAGCACAGAGACATTTTTGATTTCTTATCACTTGAATCAGGATTTAACGCTGCTGTTGTGTAGTATTGTACAAAGAACTGGAAACAGAAATTTTGTAACTAAAGCTTCTAAAGATTAAAGAGATATGATGTAGACACAGAGTAACTGAAATATAAAATGTATAGGAGTAATTTCATTACATTTAGATAATGAAGAACCATATACCATTCTTCTGTTTTGCAGCTTCGAGTCTTCAAACTGGCAAAATCTTGGCCAACCCTAAATATGCTGATTAAGATTATTGGCAACTCCGTGGGAGCTCTGGGGAATCTGACCCTGGTGCTGGCCATCATTGTGTTCATTTTCGCTGTGGTTGGGATGCAGCTGTTTGGGAAAAGCTACAAGGAATGCGTCTGCAAGATCTCCAGTGACTGTGAACTTCCTCGCTGGCACATGCATGACTTTTTCCACTCTTTCCTGATTGTATTCCGAGTGCTGTGTGGAGAATGGATAGAAACAATGTGGGACTGCATGGAGGTTGCTGGCCAAACCATGTGCCTTACAGTCTTCATGATGGTCATGGTGATTGGAAACCTAGTGGTATGTAATCCATGGGGATTTTTTATAACTCTTAGGGCATATCTCCTGTTTTTCATGATTTAGAAATCTGAAACAAAGAGTAGAGAAGGAGTGCACGAAATCATGTAGTTCACTTGCCCTTTCTGTACACCAGGTTCAAATATATATAGATTGTCTATAAAAAATGTTGTCTACTTTTTGTTTTAAATCTCAGTAAGTTACTAACCTCTTTAGTAAGATCGGTGCTGAACTATGCTTATAGTTAAGAGTGCCTTTTAAAAAAAGTCTAATTTAAATCACCTTCTACAGCCAAGTAAACTAAATTGTCTCAAAATTGATGGAAAACTGTTGGTCTTTATGACAACATTTATAATACTTAGAAGCTTACTGTTTTCGCTTTCAGTTATTTCTCTGTGAAACAAAACAAGCCTATCTCTTTTTCTCCTAAGTGATGATTTGTAAATGGCTTATCCCTTTTGCTACTGGTGTCTGAATTCCTCCCAAGCAACATTTTTAATAAAGACACAAGTACCGAATAATGTGGAGTAATGATACTTTAATTTCTTACATTTAGCATTTCTTGCAGGACATGCCCAAATGACACATGAAATTTCTGTACCAGCATTGCTTTCCTGATGCAGTCTCTGTGCCCCTTTCTGCAGTGTTTCCACCTTGCCAGTTTTCACACCTTCTGTATATATACTTTTAATATTTCTTTACAGTCCTTTCCACAACAGTACTTCATAATTAAACATATTGATTTTGAATCATTTCACCAATTTGTCATAAACTATGGTTATGTTTAATTGCAATTCTTTATCATTGAGTGTTGTGTCATCCTTTCTCTTTTTGGTATGATCCACAAATTTTATAAATATGCTTATCCACATTCATCACTACTAAGTCTCACTAGACTAATGTGAGTCCTGTGGCATATATTATAAAATGTTCTGCAAGTTTGAGCAGGAAGAACTGACAAATATAATTTAGCTGATTTTTAATTAAATTATATTTAATCAGTTTTGCACATGGTCATAATTGCATACAATTCAAATTTCTCTTGTATGTTTATAAAATGTCATGCAAGAAAGTCTGAAATGGCTTCTTGGAATTGAGGTGTATCCCATATGTGGACTCTATATCTTAGCTAGTGTTCCTGCCCAGAACCAAGATAGGTTCATATATACTTACCAATGCAGAATTTTACTATAATATGAATTGGAGGTACTAGAAATATGGTCTGTTCAACTGTAGAAGACTGGCATTTGCCTACATTCCCCTGGCCTATGAACACTGCAGTGGATGTAGCTTGCATAAATCACTACATTATGTTGTACTCTGCCTCATTCTCCGTTTTGACGAGCAGATCTGCACTAGTGCAGATTGTGGAGGAGACAGTCAATGAATAGCTCAGATTTTCACCTGTATTAGTGAAGCTATAAGTTTATTACCTTTTGGCAAGATAATAAAATGTTGGGGATAGGGATTATGAACCGAATAGAATAGCAGGATGGTGTGTAGAAATAAAGTGTTACACGTGAAATAAAAATTATCTCATATTGAAAAACTCATAATGACATTGCTTTTATGACTTAAAAATAAGAGTAATTTTTTCCTTATATTCTTTCAGGTATTGAACCTGTTTCTGGCCTTGCTGCTGAGCTCTTTTAGTTCAGACAACCTTGCTGCTACAGACGATGATAATGAAATGAACAATCTCCAGATTGCTGTGGCAAGGATTCAGAAAGGCATAGATTTTGTGAAGAGAAAAGTGCGGGAATTCATCCAGAAAGCCTTTGTTAGAAAACAGAAAGTTTTAGATGAAATCAAGCCTCTTGAAGACCTTAATAATAAAAAAGACAGCTGTATTTCCAACCATACAATAGTAGACATAGGTAAAAACCTTGCCTATCTCAAAGATGGGAATGGAACTACCAGTGGCATAGGCAGCAGTGTGGAAAAATATGTTGTTGATGAAAGTGATTACATGTCATTCATAAACAATCCAAGTCTCACCGTGACAGTGCCCATTGCTGTTGGAGAATCAGATTTTGAAAATTTAAACACAGAGGAGTTCAGCAGTGAATCAGACCTGGAAGAAAGCAAAGAGGTAAGCTATTTCTAGTTTTAAAATACTCCGATGCTTTTCTTTTTTTTTCTTTTCTTTTTTTTTATTATCATTGAATTCAAATCTTTCTTCCTTTACAACAGCATATGCAAATTCATAATGCTTTTTTGGTAAATTGAGGTAAGGTTGTGAGTTTTGAAAGATGGTCATACAATATGGCATTTACAGTAAAAATCAAGATGTGTAGTAATGTTTTTAGAAAATTAATATTTTTTTCTATTTTATTTAGTTAATTCCTTAACAAGAAAAGGAACCAGTTTAATAGTCCTAGATACCAGAAGCCATACAAAGTGTGTATGGCTGGTGCAAATTTCTCCATGCTTATTTCATTAGAGCAGTTTCTTTTTTAACCTGTTTTTTTAACAGTTCATTCTGAAGTTTTACCTTTTTTATGTAGTGAAAATGCATCCATATACATCATAGGTAGGTACATTTGAATACTGGACTAGCATCACTAAAAAAATGTCATATAAATCACTAATAATTCATCTGATGGTAGCAGAACCACTGAAGTAATGGCCTTATGGTAAAAAATCTGTAATTTAAAAAAAAAAATCTGGTAATATCCCAGTATAAAATCCTTTCATTTTACTACTCATTGTTATTTTCAAAGCTTTAAGATATTTGAATCTGTTACCTACTGTGACTAATAAAATGTACCTCTTTCTGGCCCAATGTGGTGCCAAATGGATAAATCCAAGTCAGCACTGAGAGTAATAGTGGATGCCAAGGCATTATTACTGTGTGTGTATTATTAACCCACTGCTTTGTCCTGCACATCTAAGAGTGCTGGAGGCACATCAGCTCAAGTGGAGTAAGTCTGTGCAATGCTTAGTACTGATGCTAGCTCATTCAGCATTAGCATGGGTATTTTTGAACAGTATTGCATGCTGTGGGGTAGACATAAAATAACATAAAGGCTTTCATTAGTGATTTTCTCTTACTTGAATCTGAGAGCATAAATATGGGTAAGATTCTAGTAATTTTTCTCCTGAGATTCTTTTCGTTACCAACTGTATTACACATTTAGTTGCATTTTCTTGTTTCTTATCACAAATGTCTTTATTATTCTTATATTTTTTTTTCAGATTGATTGTATTAATATTTATCTTACCCTTCAAAACTAGTACTTAGGTGTAGAACAAATCTGTTGCAGTTTAACCTTCATTTGCTCTGTTCTTCACTGCACAAGAGCTCTGTCAGTAGGAGAGGTGGAAGATAAGCTTTATACAAACCTCTGCGCTGGTTGTTAGCAGGGCTCAGTATGACAATGGTGCATCTCTAACTTCACTGTAGACCTACATGATGTGGCTGCTGACTTTGCATTAACCAAATCTTTCTTTTCTTCCCACGGAAGGATCCTCATTGGGTTATTCTACAAGATGACAAAAATACTGACTTCCTATAGGAGAAGTTTTATAGTGGATTATCCTACATTTGAGGCATGAACTCCAGTCATTAAGCTTCCACCATAAAAGAAAGGCTTTTTCTACTCCACCTGCCATATTTAAAAGAAAGCAGTGTCTTCATTGCATTCTTGGAGGCACTTAATGCTGTTGTGCTTCAGGAGCTTCAAACTGATCAAGTGATAAGACAAAGAAACACATATTGAGTCAGGGATGAACTACTGCCAAGCAGTTTTGACTGGCCAAGTCTGAAACTTTTAAGTCTGAAACTTAAAAATATTCAGGGCCAAAATTTCTTACTAATGCAGATGCTGAAGGTGAAAAGTTGAAGGGAATATTTATCAGTTTAAGGGATTTTCAAGAGAGACACAGCAGTAGGCAAAGATTGTGAGCATATTTCTTATAAAAGTGCCTAAATTTCAAGTAGATTTGAGTAACAGAAGCATGACAGAAAAGCATTAAAATCTTAATCCTAGTTCCTACTCTTCACTAGATACTCTTAGCCACCACGGTTTTTGATATAGTGGAGTGTTGGCTTATTAGTAAGATGAGCAACACTCTTGCAATGAAAATGATCCATAGGAAGAGAAGACATTTTTAAAATTAAAAAAATTACTACAAATGGCTTTTTTACAAGGCTTTCTTCTTTTTGCCATGTGCCTTGCATTTCTGCCTCTCGTGTTTTCTTATTTGTATGATACTGCCATTGCCAAGTTGATATGCCAGTCACTTCATTGCTTACACCACAAATGAAAAAATCTAAGTCAGGAGCTGCCATCAAACTGTGTTCAATTAGCAGATTTGCAGATGAAAGGCAGCTAAGGCACCCGGGTGCTGTGAGGACACTGCACAAGATAGGCAGATGCTGATGAGTGTGTGTCTGTGTGCTTCTGCTTGCTTCTGTGTCTACAACCGAATACATGTATGCATTCACTGTTGTTTAGGGCAATGAGCAGAATTCAACAAAATAATCATTTATGAGCAAGTTCTAATTAGCATGTTAATGTTTGGTGAATTCTTTGTTATAACACATGTATCTTCCAGTAGTTTGATAGAAATGTTAACTAGATTGTGCCTTTGCAGAAACAATGCATATAATATTGTACATGCTTAGTAGGTGTGAATTAACAAGGAATTTTCTAGAAAGTTACTGGAACCTGAAATAAATTTAATTATAAAAATACTGTCCATAAGAATGTCAGTAGGTGAATACAGTATAATAAGGAAATTAGAGAACAAATACTAAATAAAACTTTATCATGGAAGTAGGTTGTTAATAATTGTGGGACCACTGTGCTGAGTACATTGTCCTATAAATAAAGGTCTGTGGATCTGAGCTGCAGTACTGCTATTTAGTGCAGAAACTATAAATATATTTTTTCCATTTTAGGCTCTTAAGTACTATGAGGATCTTTTATATGGAAAATATTGTAGTACATGATTGTATAATAATTAGTTAAAATAATCCTAAGAGCGGGTAATAATTAATTTATGTTAAATGTAACTTATAGGCCAATAATAGCACCAAGATATACCAATGACAAAATATTTTTTCAATGCTTTGAAAAAAATGGGATGTCCTAATGCTGTTGAAGACACATTAATAATGTATATTTTACTTTAAGCAATATTCAGCGCAAAAAGCCAGAGGTGCTGTGTCCTGAACTTCATTTCCTACCATTCTTACTTCTCACAGGAGTAGAACCAAGCTGGATCAGTCAAGCGGGCAGCTCTGGTGCCTTTTAGCGAGGCAGAGCATCGTGTCACCAGTTTTACACAGGTTACCTAAGCAAGTTATCCATCTCTCTATATCCTCTTTAATCACCCTTTAGCAGATATTGACTGGCCTGCATGCTCTTCAGCTACGAACCTGTCCCATTCATTGCAATAAATATCAACATGCACAGCTGCTCCCTGCTGAGCCACGGGACTCGCATCACAGCATGGTCAGGCAAGAGCGGCAGCCCCAAGATTCCTGTGGCTCTGAAACTCTCCATAATATTCTAACAGTATTTTGCAGTGCATGCTATGTACCTTTCCCAATCTTGATGATATAGAATTCAGAATTCTGTTTTTGAAGGGTTTTCTTTTGTTTTGAGGGAAGGCAGAATATGTAACACATATGCTACATTTCTCATCAGAAGCTTATATTTATATGTAAGTCCATCTGTAAATTGTGTTGATAATGAAAAGCTGCTAGATGTTTTAGAAAACTTTAATACTACTGTATTTTAATTTATAATGGAAGTAACCTGCAAACTCAGCATAGTCATGTTTTTATTTTTCACATTTGTTTTAGAAGTGCTTTCCTTTAGTACTTGTACAAGCATTTAGTTATTTTGGAGATAAATTTGCAGTATTTGGAGCACCATTAAGCATGAAATTAATTTAATTTCTGAAGTCAAAGCATGTGACCATGATTTGGTTGAAAGAATTCATACAAAAAAAACAATTATTTGGCTGGTTAAACATTCAGAGATCAGTTCTGCTCTTACTTACACTCATGCTTAGGTGCAGAGGTGCAAAGAGAGCGCTGATTGCAAGATGTGGCCCAATTCAATCTTGATATAGCTCTTTAATTTATGGTCAAAAAATTATTACCTCCCCAAACATTTAAAGTTGTCTGCCTTGAGAAACTTGAAGCTATTCTCATCTCATCAGTAATAAATAGAGTTCAGCATTCAAGTAAGTAAGCTACTGAGTTTGGATCAAAATGTCCAGAAGTTCACCAGTTTCAGTGTTATTTACATCTCACCTATTAAAAAATGCCATAATATTTACAACACCACAGTTGCTGCTTCCAATTTTGTAAATTGGTAGAATTAAAATATACTTGCTCCAGAGCTTTTACTTTTATATTTTGTAAAGAATAATTATTCTGATAAGATGTATTTTGATTTAAAAATATTCATTATTTAAAATTCTTTCATACTCTGAGAAATTTAGGCTTTGTTTTGTGAATTGGTCACATTGTATTGGAATATTGTGATTCACTCTGGATGATATCAAGTTGTTATTGTTAGAGTTAACTGAAGTTTGCTTAATTGCAAACAGCAGTCCCTTACTCTGTTTCAGAAATATCCTTTCACTATTGCTTGTATGAATTAAAGAGCCTTTTTAAGTAGGTTCTGGTGGGAGAGCTTTTTCCCACTGGAGCACATTTCCACCACTACTTAAAATGCTTTTGTTTTCATACAACTTTTTTTGCAAATATTTTCATTTAATAAATTCTCATGAATAAGTAGATCAAAGGAATTATGAATATCAGTAAAGCCCAGAGCAGACTATAATTTAGGGATACTGGGTTTTTGCAGTATTTGCAACCAATAATCACCACAAAATGGTTTTGCTTTGATTTACAGTGTTCTGGATTTCTGTACTCATATTCTGCCTAACTGTATAAGCATTAGAAAGAGTGACATCCAGATTCCACTTAATTACACCAGTGGAATCACAATGCTATCTACCACTCTGAAGATTTTATAGATGATACAGCTTGCACATAGTGGAAAAGACTGGATAGTTTGCATATAATATTGCCATTTATATCACAGAACCTTTCATTTTCATACTGACATCCACACAGCACTGAGAAAATAAAACAAATTTAATTTCCATTATTTAGCATTTTCACGGGTATTTGGGAGGAAAGGAAATTGAAATAGAAATCAAAGTGGTAGTTTCTCTTGGCGCCATCTTCCTGCTAATGTCTGTCCTGCTCTTTGCTCCTTCAGTCCCTTAAATCATGATTTCAACCTCTATTAGTGGTATCCTGGCCAATCATGGAATTTGGCTTTGATAAAAATATTAAGCTAAGAGCTGTCCAGTTACTGTCAGATAATCATCTTTGGAACAAAGGAATGATAGAAGTTAAAAGTGGCCTGGCTGTAAGTGAAGCAGAATTGTATGAATCTATGTGATGTTGTCAAGGTTCAGAAAGTAATTATGTCAAAAACTTCCTGACCTATCTTGGCTGCTGCTGCTTTTTGCAATGCTTCTCTGATAGGCAAGCTGCTTTCCTATCTTGAAAGCTAAACTAAAATTTGTATCTCATACTGTTCTGTATTGCTGACTAAAGCATGACTGGCAAGGCTGTTGGTACATGTGATGTAAAAGATATTTATATCTCTATGATAATCAGTATACTGCTGCTTTAGAACCACGTAACTACTTTTGTCCCCTTACTGTTTTCTTTGAAAAGGAGGTGGAGTATGTACATTCTGAGGTTTTGAAAAACAGATTCTTTTGAGAATAATTTTCTTAGCATACTATTCAGAAAATTTTCTTCATAACTTTCAAAGAGTGTCTAATGCTTGATCCTGATACATCTCTTATAATCTGCATGACTGAATCCTTTTGAATCTAGAATCATGGTATAACAAAAATCTTAAAATGGACTTACTATTAGATCAAAGGTAATGCTTGGGTTTGATAATTCTCTTTTTCTGTAGGTTAATTTTTTAGAAAAGCTATATATGTGTAAAGGAAATAGCCTAAATCCAGGTTTTGTAATGCTGGTAAGCAGAGAGCAATTTACCAGGTACAAAGGTAACTTTCAGATATGTTTAGATAAAGAACTGGGATATATGCTACATACCTAACATATCAGGGGCTGCTTTAGTTAAGGGTAGTTTAGCTAGCCAGCTATGGATTCCATATGAGTGAACTCTGGCAAGTCACAGTAAAGCTAGAAAAAGTTTTCCTATGTAAAGGCAGGGAAAAGTATAATAGCAATAACATGGTCCGTTCCCAGGTCGTGTGTTGAATACACAGAAATCAGTACAAAGTCCCTGGCTCAGTTGTTTTATACCAGAGCATAAGTTTTCTGTGGAAATACATAAATGTTACTGAAAAGTTTCCCTAGCATACTGAACTTAATTGATTTGATAAAATCTTGAGTTGTTGTATCATAAAATCTTCCCAGGTGTTTCTAATGCATACTAAATTTTATACATTTTGTACATAGTGCCATACAATAAATTCAATGTTAAAAATAACAAAGAAAATTTAAAAATAAATTATACTGTTGAAAATTTTTTTTTCTCTCTCTCCCTCATTCATCAAATGATGCTGAATTCTTACAGACTGAATTTATTGAATAATTTGTATAATTATAATAATGGTATAATATTTTTCTTTATATACCGATCTGCTTGGGGCTAAATTCGGGTATAATAGAGCAGCATGCTAAGGAAATACTTTGTTATATCAACAGGAGAGTAATTGAGTTTTCAGTGGGATAAGGCATTTAATTGTTGCATTTCAAGTATCAGCTGTTGTTGATTCAATTTAGGATTTTTCTGTTCAGTTTAACTCATGTGATTACTGTTACAGCTCTGTAAATGAAGCATACCAGATTTTTAGTGAGAAGAGACTTGAAAGATACATCTCACCATACAGAGTGCCCCACATAAATGAAGTCGTCTTTTTGATGTTCTTGATAATTGACAGTTCTATTGATAATTTTTTACCTTTCTATCTGATATTTGTGATCTCTCCTTATAGTGGCTATACCTAATCTTCCATGTTGAGTTGAAACTGTTAGTCTTAAGTAATTTCAATAATAGGAATTCATTACCCTTTTGTGCTTATTAAACTAACTGCATAATATCTGAGTCACTGAACTCTTCATTTTCCTGTTAAAGAATGGACAGTAGGTCTTTCAAACTTACGGTTCAGCCAGTTCATAATTTTTGTTTGCTCTGCTACTACTACAGCATTCTGCTAGAAATGCTCTCCAGACTGGAATGATGCAAGCAACATTTTAAGAAAACACTATGTAATAAAAACAGTCACTTCTCAGTTTAAAAATTATTTAATATATTGTATTAATAAATGGTAATTTTTAACATCATATATTATTTTTTTTTCAATGTACCTTGCATTTATGGTATTTCTGACCTTTCCTCAAACTGATGATTGACTTCCAATCTAAACTGATGTTTAAATGCTGTGGTCCTTGAGGACTACAGTATTTATCCCATACTTTCCAGTTTCTCCATTTTAGAGGCAGTATTCCACAATAACCAAGCTGCCATGCATTATCTATAGTTCAGACATATTGCAATGTGAAATTTGTCCATAATAATCTGCAGAAAAGTGTGCATCCATCTCTTTGTACATTGGACCTGACCTCAACAGGTGTTAAAGCTCACGGAGAAATATGAACGTGAATATCTAAACTGGAATTTTCAAAAATGCATAGATGAAATGGGTGTGCAGTATCACTGAAACTAGGTGCACAATACACCCTCCAATACAGGTTTCCATTTGTTTGGCCTTCCTCTGAAATGTGCTCTATAGTGAACCATGGTACACAAAAATCTAAGTTAAGCTGCTGTCAGAATCACAGCACAATATATTGTGAGTCAATAGAATCAGAATAGGGGAGAAAGGAATGAATCTTCTTTTTGTTCAAAGAACATGCTGAATATTTGTTGCTATATAAAATTACATTAATGTCTCAAGTTACTTTCTATATCCACAGACTAATACTGTTTACATTTCGTTTACAAATAAACTGTATAGACTTTGAAGCTACTCAGAAATGTTTTAAAGGAATAATGCCTCTAACTTCAGATTTAAGTGTCAGCAAAAATATCTGTCTTTAATGTTATCATAGAATATCTCTGTCTAATATTAATTCCCTATAGATTCTATTCTAAATCTGCTTACATCATTCCCTTTGTAAGATTAGCTATTTATCAATGCAGCCATTTTACTGATGTTATACTCCATATAGTGATAACATTAGAAGAGTCATAGAATGCTGTAATCAAACTACTTTTACTTACTATAGTACTCATATTTGTCTGTTGCCAACATCATATGATGGTGTGAAAGAATAATTTTTAAGATTTGGATTATAATATTTGTATGATTTATTGGTGCAGTATTATTTCAGTATTGTTTTAAAAGCATTTGCTTTTACTTTAGTCATTCAAAATTTTTTTGGCCTTTTATAGTAATTGGACATCTATGTGTACTGTACCAAAGTAATAAGTAGTTTCAAAATGCACAGTAAATTCAGAAAATGCATTGGCAAGTGAGTATGCAAAATATCAGCTACTGCTCCTAAAGTAATGTGCTGCTCTTTTGGAAATAAAGATAACTAAATTATCCTATGAAACTCATAACATGTGTTTTCATGTCAATAATAATGAAAAAATTATATTCAAACTTTTTAGATTTAGATTTTTACAGACTTGCTAGAATAATATTTACTTGAGACATGAAAATACATCAGTGCAGCTTGCTGTTGGTTTGGTCATGATGTTGGAAATTTATTTGTACTAGCACATGCTATCTGAAGTGTAACCTAAAATGCAGCCACATGATTGGAATAATTAAACAGTACAAAATGTGGAAAGCACCCATTCTTAGCTTACTGAAATTTCAATTCAAAATTCTTATGTGTGGCACAGAATAATACTCTAATAATTTCAGCAATTCCTTGTATGAAAATATCAAAATATTTTCAATAGGGAAAATGCACATTATGTAGTTTCTAATCTTGTGACCTCACCTGTAGTAGAGCAATATGGCATTTTAGATTGTAGATAAGAAATTATTTTAATATCACAGCACTGAATACATTCAAAATATTTTGATACAAGTTTCCAACATACATTTCTATTCAGAATAATAAAACTGGAAAAAAATAACTATGTGGGGTTTCATTCACAGAAATTGAATGCATCCAGTTCATCAGAAGGCAGCACAGTTGATATTGGACTACCTCCAGAAGGTGAACAGCCAGAAGCAGAACCTGAAGAAGTTCTAGAGCCAGAAGCTTGTTTTACAGAAGGTAGGCAAAGCAAAATAAAGGCAAGATAAATAGACCTAATTGTATTGACTTGGATTGGATTCTCTTTTTATCCAAAAGCAAAAAAAAGTTTAGTGATTATTAGTTGTAATATCTGTTTGTATTAGTAACTCTTTCAGAGTTACTGCCATAGATTTACTGTTCTCACATTCTCTCTCTCTCTCTCTCTTTGGAAGGTATTGAGAAAGATAAAAAGCTTTAAATTCAAATACTAAACAAAAATGCTCAAAGAGGAATTATAAGGATCTAATGCAGTAGCACTGAAATAAGTCAAACGATTACCATAAATTGTGATTCCTAATAAATATTTACTTTATTCTGACATCTCAAAATTTATTATCACATTTAGGGTGCGTACGGAGATTCAAATGCTGTCAAGTCAGTGTAGAAGAAGGAAAGGGGAAAATCTGGTGGAATCTTAGGAAAACCTGCTATAAGATTGTTGAACACAACTGGTTTGAGACCTTCATAGTCTTCATGATTCTTCTCAGCAGCGGTGCTCTGGTAAATTAAGTGTGGAACTATTGTGACTATTAGCAAGCATTTAAAATTAATCAAATAGCTACAGGTAACAAATTAGAATTTGATATCAAATTAATGAATGTTCTAATATAAACATATTTGCAAGTATTTGACATCTATTGTAGGACATGTAAGAATTTGCTTGTGGGCTCTGAAACGAATTGGCATGTTCAAAATATATTGTTAATGGAAATAAGAAATAAGTTTTATCAGACTGGTGTTAGCATGTCTTAATATTGATGATAATAGCTTTTTTTTTTGATACAAATTTAAACAAAAACACAGCTGAGCTATGAATTTAGCAGCCACAACTCAAATTGTCAAACTGAGGAGGAAAGTACCAACACAATTCCATTAGATAATTTACAGATTGGTGTTAAATCAGGTGCACTGAGTAGGTATTCAAGTAATTAGTTTCTCATAGCAGGAACAGAATATAATATTCTTGGTACGCTTGGCTCAATGCACAGTGATTCACTGTCAATGTGTACATTTTCTTTTGACAAGACAGTACTCTCTATTTAGGATTGCTTTCTGGATTAGTGTACATAGTTTGGTTTCAATTATTCCTCAAAAATATTGTATCACAGAGTAATTTTAGATCCCTCATATAATTTTAATATAAATATGTAACTTCCACAAAGGAAATCCTTATGTCAGTAGACCCTTGCTATCTGTAGTGGCCCCTGGCTGGATGTCAGGTTCCCACCAAAGGTGTTCCGTAACTCCACAAGCGGACAAGGGATAGAAAACATAACAAAGGGTTCACGGGGTTGAGATAAGGCCCAGGAGAGATCAGCCACCAAATACTGTGATGGGCAAAACAGACTCAGCCTAAGGCTATTAACTGAATTTATTGTTAACAAAATCAGAGGATAATGAGAAGTAAATTAAATCTTAAAAACACCTTCACCCCACCTCTCCCTCGTTCTCAGCTCTACATCCTCCCTTCCAACAGTAGGTAGACAAGGAATGGGAGTTAGGGTCAGTTCATCACACAGTGCTTCTGCCACTGCTCAGGGAGAGGAGTCCTTCCCCTGCTCCAGCATGGGGCCCCTTCCATGGGAGACAGTTCTCTATGGACTTCTCCTATGTGAGTCCATCCTACAGGCAACAGTTCTCAAAACACCATTGCAGTGTGCATCACTATTCCATGGAGTGCAGGCCTTCAGGCGCAGCCTGATCCAATCCTCCTGGTCCTACAAGTCCTCCTGGGCCACCTGCTCCAACATGGGCTCCTCTCTCCATGGTCTGCAGGTCCCTGCCAGGAGCCTGCTCCAGCATGAGTTTCCCACAGATTCACAGCCTGTTCTCAGGCAAAGCCCTGCTCCAGCATGGGGCTCTGCCAGGGGCTGCAGGTGGATCTCTGCATCCCTGTGGATCTCCATAGCCTGCAGGGACACAGCTGCCTCACCATGGTCTTTACCACAGGCTGCAGGAAAATCTCATTCTGGCACCTGGAGCACCTTGTGCCCCTCCTTCTCCACTGACCTTGGTATCTGCAGAGCTGTTCCTCTCGCATATTCTCACTCCACTCTTCTCTGCCTGCAATTCCACCTGTGCAATATATTTTTGTTTTCCTTTCTTAAATATATTGCATAGAGGTGTTTCTATTATTCCTGATTGGCTTGGCCTTGGCCAGCAGTGGGTCTGTCCTGGAGCCTGGCATTGGATCTGCTGGACATGGAGGAGCTTCCCACATAAGCCACCACTCAACTCCCCCACTACCAAAACCTGGTCACACAAACATTATTCATGGAAACAAATTAAAGTTTGAAACAAATTGAAGTTTGAAGAGTAGTCTTACAGTAAGTTTTGTGTATCACTGTTCAGCTCAGCTGAAAGACGAATGTTTGGTCCCAGCTTGTATTAGGTGAAAGCCCAAGTTATGCTTGAGGGAAAGATATATGCCTTATCATCATGTATACTTTTTCAATTTGAATTTTTTCCTGGCCATTCCTATATGACACTGCAAATTGTGAAGATATTTAATTATATCTTCAAAAATCTTTTTCACAGGCATTTGAAGATATCTACATAGAGCAACGTAAAACTATCAAGACCATGCTGGAATATGCTGACAAAGTTTTCACCTACATCTTCATTCTGGAAATGCTTTTAAAATGGGTTGCTTATGGTTTTCAAACCTATTTCACTAATGCGTGGTGCTGGCTGGACTTCCTGATTGTTGATGTATGTATTCTTTTTCATATCCTGTACGATAGGCTTTAAAAAACAGAATATTATGTTTTCAGGATAGGATTTTTGTTCTATTCAACTCTATTTAAACTGCTGTGGTGGTATGGTTTATAATTCTGTTTAGAATGGAAAAAAATATTTTTGATATACTTATTTCTCTAGAGATGTTTTGTTGAAATTCTCTAGTTTTATGAAGTTGTAATTCTTTCTTGAAATGATGCTTTTTACTATCTTTTTTTGGTGGTATAGAAAATATGCTTTCATCCTCTTCAGTTTTTTTGTACATGGAAGTAATTTCTCAAACTGTTTCTAGTTATTCTAATCAAATACTTTAAGTGTCCTGCCTCTGTGCAATATGAAAGGAAAATACTGCTAGGAATTGTCAATTCCGTTGTACTATTCAGTACCTTTGCACTTTTCACTGTATCATGGGGGTGACCTCAAAGAGACACTTCAGAGAACCGTAGATGAGCCCCCTTAGAATGGGTTCCCACATGATTTTCCAAAGGCTGCACTACCTAGAGGCAGATACACATTGTCTGAAGGAGACCTAGTGAGAAGTGCATTGTAATTTCAAGTCTACATGCTCAACAATGTATGTAAAGTACTGGGTAGCATAAATGGAAAACTACAGATCTTTGATCTTATAGCAGATAGTCATTTCCCTTCCATCCCCAATAGCCTGACTTACCTCTGTTTGTGTTAATAGGCATCTCTCAGTTCCACAAATGTAATTCCCATGGAATCCAAGAGTATGTCTTAAACTACCTACTGCGCATTATAAAAAGCACCAGAATTCTATAGAAATTGCTAAATATCTCCCTAAAACTACAGTGATAGATCCTCATGAGATCTTTACTACAAAAAGCTTGGAAAACACTATACCTTGTAAATCCAGACCAGCATTGCAAATCCTTTGATAAGACATGACTATATGCTCATAGAGTATTTCATGATTGAGTCTGTATCTTTATAAAATATGTATTGGCTCAATCAACTGATGTGTAAATTGCCATGACCAGTAGAATTTGTATTTATCAACAAATATTCAATTCTTATTTGATAATCTGTGGTTTTGTTACTTCTGTGACCCTTATAAATAACTTTATTAGTTTTCCATGACAACCTTACCTTGGTGCAATTTTTAAAATAAAAAAATGAATATGAGAAGCATTCTTTTTATTCTATAATCAGGGGATTGAAATTAAAAAGACCAAAAAGAACAAATTGGAAATGAAGGAATTGAGAGAACAGGCAGGATGGAAGGGTAGGGCATTAAATGGACAGAAATAGGTGGTTTTTTTTATTTTGGATTTATTAGGGCCACTCCTTCCCAATGGCTATTAGAAATACATTTCCAAGGATTATTGATGAAAGATAATTGTATTATTTATTTTACAGCTATTCTAGTTTATTTACTCATCTGCCTGCAGACCAGACCAGCGTTATGCAAGCCAGAATTGATGAAGTGGTTAAAGGAGTCACAGGGAATGTAATGAAGTGTGGATATGCCTAACAGTGAAGCTTCTACCATTGTCTAACAGTTGGTTCTCAGTCTTGATTAGTGTGGTTAAATCTGAACAGCACTGGTAGCTATGGCTGTTGAATAAGATTTTCTGGACACTAGAAAGTTACATTTGACCAAAAACGAGGTCTGGATGTGGTTTTTGAGAGCGTTTACATTCTCATCAAGTTCTGAAGATACCATGGGAAGTCCTGACTTAAATTGTCCATTCCAATTCACCCAGCTTTTGGGTGTTTTGTTTTTGCATGTGACTTCATTTTTCTTTAAATCCCACCAAATGTTGACTGGTTTATGTGAATATAGAAGGCACTTTTAAACCATTCTACCAACATGATTTCATCAACAGGTACCTAGAATATATTTTTATTCTACTTTGTCTGACATAAAGATTTTTCTGCATTGTAGAGGGTTTCCTGGAGAAAGAGGTCCAGCCTTGAATCTTCTTGAGAAGTTCAGGGCACACATCATTCCCACCATATTTATCAAAAGGATATAAAGATGAATGAGCAATATTGCCTTTCTGTTTTTGTGTAGGTCTCTTTGGTTAGCTTAACAGCTAATGCCTTGGGCTACTCAGAACTTGGTGCGATTAAATCCCTTAGGACACTAAGAGCTTTGAGACCTCTGAGAGCCTTGTCGCGATTTGAAGGGATGAGGGTAAGACAACGTGAAAGAATCTGAAATAATGCATGCATCCACAGAAACAATGCATGCAGAATAATCAACGACCAATCCATGCAGAAATGCTACACTACCATCCTATATATTTCTCATTTATCACTAACATATAAGCAAAAGGCTTCATCTGCTTATATGAATTCATGTGTTATTGGACATATTGTTACACATAATGAGGCTCCTTGGCCTTTCACCATGTTTCATATTTTCATGGAGGGCCCAAGGATTTATCAACTGCATGGATCTCTGCAATATTACTGAATTTATCCTATACAAACACATCCTGCTATAGTCAGAACAGTTTAAAAAAACTCCAATACTTTCTCTCAGAAGTGTGCACATACAGCCATGTATGCATGCACATCTGTATTTTATACCAGTTTAGACTATCATACATAGTCTATATCTTTTAACATAGTATTCTGTATATATGAATTGGGAATGTCTTTTAGAACTAAAAGTTTTGTAATTAATTTGTATTTTAATAAGTAAATTTGCTCCATTAAAATACCTTCTCTCTTTCATATTAGAACCATTGCGTTCTGTTTAAGAAAACTTTTCTAGCAAGTCAGAGATAGAGCTGGCTTTATGATTCTGGTTGCTTACTGCTTTCCATATTGATTGGGAATTGTTGATTATGATGTATGGAGCACTAAACAGCCTGAAAATTTTGAAGACTAATGTGAAAATATATTAGACTTTTGCTGGTATATTTGAGAAGTTACTGTCCCCAGCTGTTCATTATCACTGTATCAGTTACCACAGCTGAGACTCTGAGCTGCCCAACAGGGCACATTCAGTCTGTCTCAGTGCAAAGTCAAAGTAGTTGGTTTAAATCACTTCTTTAGTGCACTGAAATGGACAAAGACACAATGTACTCTGCTATGACTCAAACACTCTAGAAATGTTTCTCCCAGGAGTAGTAGTGAACAACCAGATATGGTAGATATTTCTAGCTCCAGCCACAGGAAGATGTCTGGCTTACACCTTCAGGGTCCATCTGTCTCTCTTGGACATACTGCCATAGTGGGCATCAGCAGATGCACCTGAACTGGAACCCTACTGCCATAATTAAAAGGGATCCTTGTATGAGCTCCCTCCTGTGATCACTATTCTTTGGCACCCCAGGTGATAAGCTGATCAGCTAATTTGTAAGTCAACTACAAATTGGTGACCTTCTGAAGAAAATGTTATGCTCTCTGTGTGTGGAAAGTAAGAGAAGAGACTTCAACCAAAAAGGAAATGGGCTTTGATGAAATGTTATAAATTCAAACAGGAAATAGCATTTCTTTGCCTTCAAAAAATTTCTAGACTTTTACTAAACCAAATTTTAAAATTTGGGATGTTTATATCAGAGGTAAGGCCTTTCTAAAGCATCAATATTATCTCACTAAAACCACATTAACTGTTGGGTTTTTTTGTTATGACAATGATTAACAAAACGAAAAATCCAAATAAAAATATTTCAAATTTTATGTAAAATTGCTTAAGTGGAAGTTTATCGTTGCAAGGAAAAAACCAATAACCTTGTCATGAAGGTTTATGAATAATTGTCAATCCCATGACTTCCATGTTGGTGTAAACTTTACCTATGGATTTGATCCTGATCTGCCAACTGTATCTCTTTGTACAATATCCAGATGAGGAAAAGATTTATGAATTTAGAAAAAAAAAAACAATAAAAAGTAGTAAATGAAGTTAGTTTACTTAAGACTAGAAATGTGACCTATCATTTCACTAGTTAGGCAATTAACCATTGAAATAGCCCAATGGATGTAAGGAATTTTGATTCTTTTAAAGTAATTAATTCCAAATTTAGTGTCTTTAAAGATACAGTAGCTCAAGTTGATGAAGACATTAGTATAAGAACATTTTAAGGTCTGATACATGGAAATTCAAGATGTCTGTCCATAACATATTCATTCCATTGGTTTTTATCATGTATGAACTGAAAATATGACAATATTATTATTATTATTATTATTATTATTATTATTATTATTATATGAAAATATGACAATGCAGTACAATGCATATATTTGCATAGACTTATAATTTAAATTTATACTTATAATACAAATTTACTTCCGTTGAGCATCATACTTCCCATATACAAGCAGGAAATTCCGTTCAATACATATAAAATTTTTAACTCACTGTACCATTCTCTAGGATCTGGACTTATGCCTGCCCAAACTAGTACCTAATAGAAAAAAATTGCCCCTATGAAAAAGTGGGGTTTTTTTCCCTGCATCTTCCCACCACTGTCATTGCTAGGAAAGTTATACTTTAACTGACACTTTTATTAAAATAGCCTGTGGGAATATAATTAATCTGTCCATGCTTTGTCCCAAGCAGTATCACTCTCTGCTGTATGATGCTAGGCACTAATACCTTTTTCTTTCAACTACAAAACAAGGAGTTTGATGTCTTCCTTATGCTTCCCCTGCTTTCATTTGCTGTCAGGCCTAGCCCCCTTTTCTCACACCCTTACTACCAGTGGAAGCTGGAAGGTTTGGGATCAGTGTTTCCAGTGATGCTCAACCATATGTTTTGAGCGTCTTCAAATGATTTGTAACACAAGCTGGTTCTCTATAGCTTCGGGACTCAGACTAATACCAGAGAAAGTAGGTCAGCTGTAGAAATCCAGCAATTAAAGAAAGAACATGACTGGACCTGCAGCTGCAGCAGAAAGAGGAACAGAATTCTTGGGTGTACTGAGACTGAAAGCTTGAGGACAAATATTTTCACTTCATTAACTATCTCTTTATATCTCAAGAATCGTTCCTGATGGATGATATTATTACATTTAAGAAATCTAGTTACATTTGCTGAGTAGAAGAATTGAGATAACTTTAAATTTTATAAAACTAATATATTTGGAAAATACTCCCAAATTGGGAAAAAATGATCTTGCCATTTATTATTCCAAATTTCTGTAAAAATAATTTGATTTAACATATATGGAGAAAAAGGTACAAACAAACAAAAAATCATGGAAGATTTGGACTTCATGCACCATTCTGTGCTTTTACAGAGTCATGGAGTAGCTTACACTGAAAGCAACTTTATTTAATTCCGTTCCTAAATTAAAACAAGAATTTCACTGAAGTCCTATAGGCTCTCAAATGTTGTCCAAAGTAGGTATCACCCAAAAGAGCTGGTATTTTGGTAGGAATGGGGCCCTGAAAGTAAAGCAGGAATTTATCCTTTTCTTCAGCCCAGTTCTTTATAGTACGTAATGGTGGTTCATCACTTATCTAATATTCAAAGGGTTTATTTTCTGTTCTGTAAAAGGCAAGGAATGAAAGCCCATCTACCTGGATGACTAATTTTATAATTCATTGCTGCTGTGGATGATATTACATAGTTGCAGATATTACTGTTATGCCAAAATACTTCACAGACCTTCACTACATATTTATAGTTCAAACAGAAAAAACAAGTTTATTATGCTAGAGAATCTGCCCTAGTATTTACATCATATAAACTAAATTATTATAAAAAAGGTATCAAAGTAATAGTTAGTGTTTTGCATTTAAAAAATAAGCAAACTTTACTTTTACGGATCTGATTCAGTTGTTTTGGCAAACTTGGTGGCAGTGGTCTCTACTTAAAAAAGATTATATTCTTAGAGTTATTTGCAGAGAGAATTAAAATAGGAATTAACTAATTTAGCATCATCAATTCCGTCATTAAATTAATAATTCTCATTCATAATGGACCTACTTTCTCCCAAATTTTATTTTCCTTAGTGTTTTATTTTCATTCTGGCATGTTTTAATTGTTGCTCATCAACACATATGAACTCATTTTCACATTCTTATTTCCTGAAGCCTGATTTTTCCCAAAATTCAGTTGGGAATTAAATCAAGTCTCTTTTTCAAGAGACTTCTTTATCTGCCAGTTTCCTGAACACTAACAACTCTGATGTGTTCAGATACTCAGTAGATTTCCTGGTTTGAACATTTGTACTTTTCTGATTCTATATGTAAACATCCAAAGGAATATGCATACATCACTGGGTTTTATTTTCAAAAAGATTCAAAGTTAATTTCAATTAGAAATATGCTCAGTAATAGATTTGAACTTGGATTTGTTTATCCAGTAAACATGTAATATTAAAAATTCGGTTTGTTTGATTCAGTCAGTGATTACATAGAGTATTTGCAGACATACATTAAGTAAATATTCTAGAAAGTACAGATAAATACTTATTTTTCCTTTTTTTTTATTTAGTTTGTTTTACTGGTTCTTATTTTACCCATTCTTTAAAGCTACCATTTCCTACTACTTGTATTTTTTCCTGCTAATTAAGTTTGGCATTTTATATTTTCTCTATACTGCTTTTCTAACTTGTTACTCTCAACAATTGAAGTATAACACAGACATTAGAATTATAATAGCATGTTACATTTGAGAGAGGCTGATGAAGCATTTGTAAGATCCTGGTGCCTGTGTTCTTACAGTGTCTTTCTTTGATTTCATTTATATCCCAGGTTGTGGTGAATGCCCTGTTAGGAGCGATTCCATCTATTATGAATGTGCTTCTTGTTTGCCTTATATTCTGGCTGATATTTAGTATCATGGGAGTAAATCTATTTGCTGGAAAGTTTTACTACTGTGTTAACACTACAACTGATGAGAGATTTGATATCAGCCAAATTAACAACTTTAGTCAATGTGAGGAGCTCATACAAAACAATGAAACTGCCAGATGGAAGAATGTGAAGGTTAACTTTGACAACGTAGGCCTTGGTTACCTTTCTCTGCTCCAAGTGGTAAGTCACCAGTCCTTAATTTCTATTTCTCTTTCTATATCTCTATTGTTTACTTGTAAAAGTAAAAAGTTTTTTACTTTTGTTTTTTTAATTTAGAAATTTAGTCTCTCAATTATTAGTTTGAATTATGAAGTGTGGGATAAATTCATGACTCTACAGAAATAACACAAATGCTAAAGGATATACTGACTATGAAAAAAAAGTGTAATTCAAATCTGATACACCTTAGATGTATTGAATCTGTATCAAGTAAACCCCTAATGCTCATGCACAGAAAAAATAATCTTTACATCAGATGTTATTCATAATAGACAAAAGTTCTTAATGGATGCTGTGTCCTCTATATTCAGATATTAGAACTGGCTTGCAATTCTTTTACATGAATAAAACATACAATAGAAGGCAAGAGTCAGCTAATAGGATTGCACTCTGCTGATTTTTATGATGAGTACTAAAGATACTTAGTCTTCAGCTCCTAAAAATGCTTCTGACAAGCTATTTTCCAGGAAATTGTGACCTAAACACCTGTGTTCTTTTTATAGGCTACATTTAAAGGATGGATGGATATCATGTATGCAGCAGTGGATTCTCGTAATGTAAGTACAGTCCCTTGACTCCATTTGTTTTGATTGTATGAGCTCAAAGATTTGAGAGTGTAATTTGAACATCTTTCAGAAATTACAGTAAAAATGAAAGAACAAAGAGTTACTATGATTTTGTAGTTAAAGAAAATGGAAACCATGGGAAAAATACAAGAAATGAGGAAAGCAGAGGAGCAGTCCTAAAGGATTCCATGTTCTCTATGGTACAAATCAAAATTCCTTAATCCTACAACACACCTATTGCCATGAAATACTTTTCCTCCTATCATTTTGCATTAAGCCAGTCTTTATATTTGGAAACAGACACCGATATAGAGAGGGTTGTTTTTTTTTTGCAATACTGATCTTATTTATACTTAAGACTTTCATTGTGCTCTGCAAGGTGCCTGACTCCTTTCTTTAGGGCACAGTGGTTTTTTTTAATTAGACCTGTGTGTTTTCTTACCCTTTTGCCTGCGCTTCGTTCACTTAGTGCAAGTTTTCCTCTAGGTCTATGTAATCAATTGAATAAACTATACTGGTAAAGCTCCATCTTGTTTTGGTAAGCTGCAATCACAGCAGGCCTGCTGTAGTATAGTGAAAGTGGATAGCTATACCAAGAAAATATGCTTAGACTAAACATGGTTTGGATGCCTCTCTTCCATAATTCTGTGAAGTTTCCTAAGTGCCTGTAGCAGTGAAATCTCCACAAGGCCACAACAACAGCCTCCCACAAGATTTACAGAAAATTCTGCAGATGTAAAACTTGGTGTTTCTGGTTGTCTGTACACTCAGGTGGAACTTCACAAGTTTAAACCAATTGTGTTTTCAGTATTTATTCTACATTTGTACAGGCTAGTTACATTTTCAAAAGTGAAGTATCAGGTTTGATAGCAAAGCCTTTTTTCAAGAATGTAACTTCCTGTAGATTGAAAATCACTGGACTATATGTCAGGATTTGACCATAAGAACCAAAGGTCACAGTGATAGAGCCCTAAATTCTATCCAGCAGATACTTTGTATTCACTGTTAAACTAATGTGCAGTTTCTGTGCCTTTTTTGCAGGTTTTGGATCAGCCGAAGTATGAAGATAACCTGTACATGTATCTTTACTTTGTCATCTTTATCATCTTTGGATCATTTTTTACCTTGAACCTTTTTATTGGTGTCATCATAGACAATTTCAACCAGCAGAAAAAGAAGATAAGTACTTCATTGTTATTCTGAAAAGAACATGAAATATTCTTATTTTTGGTCAACTGATGACAACTTTATTCATAAGATTTTTTTATGATAAATTAATTAAGAGCGCTGCAAAGTAAATACATTAAATTATGAAAGCTTGAGGTTTGGCTTGATGAGGGTTTGATGGACAAGTGACAATCTATGACTCTCCATAGTTAGTGAAATACTCAATATCATCTTTGTAAAGATATAGGTTTGAGACTGATGCCATAAGTGACTCACAAAAGGCTAACCATTGAAATAGCTAAATGTAGCTATAAAAAATCTTTGCTCTACTACCTTCATGTCACAGAGTTCAGCAGTATAGATTTCTGAACTTTGATAAAAAACATTGTATTATCTTTATTTGTACCCTCTTTTGTCTTTGGGTTTTGTCAACACTGCCTGAAAAGGTATCAGTGTTCCAGCTGCTGAACTCAACACATTCTGAAGCTTAATATTTAATATAAAAAACATAAAGGAGGATTTTTTATGTCTGTTCCTACAGATGAAAATGTGAGCAAGAGTGATCATTAGTATTATTTATAAATAATCAATAAAGATACATGATTGTAACCAGTTTTTGTCTCTTGGGTTTACTTTGGAGGTCAAGACATTTTTATGACAGAAGAACAGAAGAAATACTACAATGCAATGAAAAAATTGGGTTCAAAGAAACCACAAAAGCCTATACCTCGACCAGCAGTAAGAATAAAAATATTTTCTGTTATGTTTAAATATATTTAAAAATTGTATTTTTTCTATTATGCCTTAGGCTGAAATAAATTGTAAGCTAAAAAAATGTGATATAAGACTTATTAATCTGAAATACCATTTTTTTTCTTTCTTCTGCTATAACAGAACAAATTCCAAGGCATGGTCTTTGATTTTGTAACAAAACAAGCATTTGATATCAGTATCATGATACTTATCTGCCTTAACATGGTCACAATGATGGTCGAAACAGATGATCAAAGTGAAGATATGGAAAACATTTTATATTGGATTAACCTGGTGTTTATTGTACTTTTCACTGGAGAATTTGTCCTGAAATTGATTTCACTTCGTCATTACTACTTTACTATAGGTTGGAATATTTTTGATTTTGTGGTTGTGATTCTCTCCATAGTAGGTAAGAGCAACTCATTTTTATGAAATGTCTAATTCTGTGAAAATGGAAATATATTTGGTGTGTAAAATTGATTTATATTTTGGTTCCCCTTTATCATTAGAAAGTCTTAGCCATAGGATAACTGAAAAGTATGGTAAGAATTTTTTTAGCAAGAGGTTTCACACACCTACTTTTTTTATTGGCTGAAATTAGATCTTTATTCCAAAATCAGTAGAGTTTCCAACTCATACATGAAAGGCAATTTTGATATAAAGTTACAGTGACAGTTGCTGGTGAAAGATTTCAGACATCCAAAATGCAAGAACAAAATCTGCGTGGAACTGTTATGAGGGTAGGATGCATGCACCAGACAGCAGGGTTAAACCATTTGCTTACTTCGATTTTGTTTGATCCTGGGAGGCTTTGTGCCTGAGGTGGAGTGAGCACTGGAGAATCAGAGCTGAAGCAGATGTGGTAACAAATAATGACTCCACTTATCTTTGCTTTATATAGAGCAGCAAACTTGAAAGAACTCTGGTAAAATTGTGTTATTTTAACTTTTAAGTACTCCTTAATATGCAAATCAGTTTTTCTATTTTTGTATCAAAAAAGTTATTTTTCTGCTTTGAGGCTTAATACATAGTACAATGCTCAATTCTTTCATTCTTCTATGAATTATAAAAAACCTTTTATCAGTTTGTTTATGTTCAGAATTTCTGTGTCATTAGTAATAAACCTGTGTTCATGTTATTTTATGTATGATTAAGAAGTCACAGTTCTCTTCAAGTATACATACTTTTTTGCATAACCTAACTTGATTACATGGAATTTTAATCCTACTGTGAATATGATTTTTCTTCAGATTAACTAAGATTATTTTGCTACCGTTAAACAAAAGGGTATTCCTCTGATCTCAGTATTTGCTAATATATATACTCTAGTTACCAGTTTGTTCTAAAAAAGTATACTAAACACAAAGGTTTTATAAAAGAAACCAAATGGCTAATTCCTAAAAATCTGTTTAAGTATCCTACTCTTCCTAAAGTTCTACAATCCTTGTAGAATGCATCTTTTACAATGGTTTTTAAATGAAAAAAATTTTACTGATTTAACTTGTTTTTTCCTAGGTATGTTCTTAGCTGAGATGATTGAGAAGTACTTCGTATCTCCCACACTATTCAGAGTCATCCGGCTTGCCAGAATCGGTCGAATCCTGCGCCTCATTAAAGGCGCTAAGGGAATCCGCACTCTGCTTTTTGCTTTGATGATGTCTCTTCCTGCTCTGTTCAACATTGGGCTGCTGCTTTTCCTAGTCATGTTCATCTATGCCATATTTGGCATGTCCAACTTTGCCTATGTCAAGAGGGAAGTTGGGATTGATGACATGTTCAACTTTGAAACGTTTGGCAACAGCATGATCTGCCTGTTTCAGATCACCACGTCCGCGGGCTGGGACGGTTTGCTCGCCCCAATCCTTAACAGTGGGGAGCCAGACTGTGACCCCCATAAAGATCATCCAGGGAGCTCTGTGAAAGGTGACTGTGGCAACCCTTCTGTTGGGATTTTCTTCTTTGTCAGTTACATTATCATTTCCTTCCTGGTAGTGGTGAACATGTACATTGCTGTGATTTTGGAGAACTTCAGTGTTGCTACTGAAGAAAGTGCTGAACCCTTGAGTGAGGATGACTTTGAGATGTTCTATGAAGTCTGGGAGAAGTTTGATCCCGATGCAACACAATTCATAGAATATAGTAAATTATCTGATTTTGCAGCTTCATTAGATCCACCTCTTCTCATAGCAAAACCAAACAAAGTCCAGCTTATTGCAATGGATCTGCCCATGGTGAGCGGTGACCGAATTCACTGCCTTGACATCTTGTTTGCTTTCACAAAGCGTGTGCTGGGGGAAAGTGGGGAGATGGATGCCCTCAGAATACAGATGGAAGATCGGTTTATGGCAGCCAATCCTTCTAAAGTCTCCTATGAACCAATTACAACCACACTGAAACGAAAGCAGGAGGAGGTGTCTGCTGTCATCATTCAGCGTGCTTACAGACGTCACCTATTAAGGCAAAAAGTCAAAAAAGTATCATGTATATTTAGTCAGGATAAAGGTAAAGAGGAAGATGATCTGCCCACGAAAGAAGATATGATTATGGATAAACTAAATGAGAACTCCACTCCAGAAAAAACAGATATGACACCATCCACAACCTCCCCACCTTCTTACGACAGTGTAACAAAGCCAGACAAGGATAAATATGAAAAAGACAAATCAGAAAAAGAAGATAAAGGTAAAGACAGCAGGGAAAGTAAAAAGTAACATAGAACGCTGTTTGTAATAAACTGTTTACAGCCTGAAAAAGTATGTATTTGTGTCAACAGGACTCCTGTAGGAGGTACATGCCAAACTGTCAGTTTTTACATATATAGATATATATATAATTATATATATATAAGGTCAGTGCCTATAGCAAGACAGTGACCCCTCGTCATCAAACTGCAACTCTGTGAAACAGGGTAACATCTTGACAGGAGGTTGTTGTTTTTAGTACCAGCTGACACTGCTGAAGAGATGATAAAATGGCCAACCAGACTGTAGGGACCAGTTAAAAAAAAAAGGTGCAAACCTATGAATCTCTGTGTTTAACATGAAACACACAGTACAAAAATTGTATCCACTGTTAGCATTTCAACAGTCACATTTGCCATATTTTTACAAAAATCAGTGTTGGTGAACTTATCATTTTTTAATTCACAGGTTGTTTACTATTATATGTGACTATTTTTGTAAATGGGTTTTATGTTGGGGAAGGGGGTATGAGGACCAGGTGTTCTACTCTCGGATTCTCTATAATGTACAGACAGAAGTGATTTGCATGAAGGCATGCTGCACTTGTAGTTCATGCATGGGAAAACATGACGTCGCACAAAGCAGCAGTCTGACTACTTCCATGTTTCAGGGTGGCTCTGTATGTTGAGGTGCTTAATAACAGTATCCATCTAGTATCTCATCCAGACAAATCTTAATGTGCCTGTAAAGTCCCATAGAGTCTACAATAATAGAACAGATGTTTTATTTTTTCATAAGTCATTTAACAATAGTTAAACAATCTCTGCATAAAAATTCTACCAAGGGACATAGAATCCACTTCTAAGTATTCTTCTGCGGAAAACAGTTTACCTGACCTTGGGAAATTGAGTTTACCAAAAACCTGCAAAACATAAGGATTATGAAGTTGTTCTGCTTCACCCTGCAGTATCATTTAGCCATCTTCTGCTCTCAGCAAGGTTGACATTGTATGTGTTGATTAAAAAAGTACCCTCTATGTAAATAGTTATTTTATCCCGTGGTGCATGTTTGAGCAAACAAATAATGACGTGCACAATATTTATTGCATCAAATATGTACCACAGTAAGTGTAATTTGCAAGTTCTCAACAGCTAATATGAAGTATTCTGTACCATTATAGATAGTTTGGAAGCTATCACTGATGCATGTTTATCTTGCCTTTGCTGCTGTAATTTTACTCCTTCCACTGTTAAGAGTCTAATATGGGAAGCCATAGCTCAGTGGTTAAGTGAAATAAATTGCTCAATTGGTCATAATTCTTTCACGACATCAAGCAATAGTTTGCAGTTATTTAAGAGCTTCTTGCTTTGCATTCTGAAATTTTAAGTGACTACTGTACAGTGCATACTCAGACTGTACAGGACATGTTGCAAACTGCTTAATCTGTTGAAAACTACATGGATAGAATTTTCTAAGAAAATATAAATACTGTAAAAAATACCATTTTATTTTATTTTTCAGCATTTTGTACATAAAATAAGAAATGAGACTTATCTTCAGGTTGATGTTACTGTCACTTTTATTACTTTCTATCCATAGCACTTTTTAATTCAAGAACTTCACAAAATAAGAAACAAAGGAAAGAATGGGGTAGCTTTAGGTTTCTGCTTTTTTATTAGTACTGTATTTTTGCACACATTTTAATGTTAAATAAGTTTCAAACTGAGTCCAAAATGCACTTGCTTCCAAATAGATATAACTTGTAATTGAAATGTGGTGGGGAGGATTTGTTTAAAATTCTAGCACTGCCTGCATCAGAAGTTTCAAGGTAGTCTTTTTATTCATGAAATCTTTACCAGTGTTGTTTACATGGCCTATTCTTATTCTTGTTGATTCATGCTGCACTAGAACTGTTCTAAATATGATATGGGATCCACAATGTTTTTTTTTTCCACAGGAATTAAATAGAAAACTTGTATAATTGATCACATCAGGACATTTTGTGTTTCTTACACAAGCAAAAATTCGATGTTGACTCCTCCTTTTACAAAAATATTGACTTGTGTGTCGGTGAACTGCATGCAGGAAAATGCTATTACCATAAAGAACAGTAAACCACATTACAGTTGAGCCAAAAGAATAAAGATTTCATTTTTTATTGTATTTAATGGTTTTGTCTTCATTTTTTTCCCCACTAAAAACTATTGGATATCAAGAGGTGCTATGAAATATAAATATATAAAATTTTAGAAATAGATTTGTAAGAAGTAAAAAAAAAAAAAAGAAAAAAAAATGGAAGCTGTATCCTTTCTGAAAGATCTAAACATGATTTACACTTACACTCTTGAGGTTATTAATCCTACTCAGGATTCTAGTAGGATAGCGTCTAAGAGCTCACGATGCTTCAATCCCTTTTTCATATCGGGTATTCTGAGACAACTCAAAAAACAGATATTAAAGAAAGTCTTTAGCTACCAAGGATGCAATATATGTATCATTTTAATTATATTTTACAATTGAAGTGAAGAATTATCTTTGTATTATAAAGAAAAAAATATTTATCTCATTATTTTCTAAGTATAATTTATTATTTTGTGCTAAGACATGAGAGCCAAATTTTTAGGTAGCAATCATATTTGAGTGCTATTTCTAAAAAAAACTTTTCTCTGTTGTAAATTTAAAGTAATGCCACGCAGGTTACACTGAACAAATTAAAAGCACAAACTCTAATAATAATCATAGGTGTGCAGATATGTATCCTACATCAGATCCTCTGAAGAGTATTCGTAAAACCAGATGTAGCCAGGGATCTGTGATGTGGAACTCCGAGCTTTGGGTGTGCACCCCAGGAGAAACACTTGCGATGGATCAGTAGGATAGCATATGTTTTTCCTCTGCTCTCTCCACCATTTTCAGCCACTGATGGTCTGTTGAGGTTGTTTACTCTAAAAATGAGTATTGCTACTCTCATGCGGTGAGCTCTTAGGCTGCAGTGTTTCAGTTAAGATTTTTCACCTCAGCTTTAAAAAAAAAAACAATTGTCAGGGCAGGATTTGAGATAGGGAGAGATGAGAGAATCCAAGATCCAAAAAATCCAAAATCCAGAAAGTGTAATTAAAGAAGAACTTTCATGTTAGTTTGGTTGGTTTTGCGGAGGGAAAAGTCCTGAAAAAATTGCAGGTACATAAGTAATATATTTGTCTGACTTAGGCTGAAGATAATCAGTATGTGTCTGAGAGGGGTTTGTGCTTAACAGAAGACTAGCACAAAGAAAGAAATTATTAAACGCCTCAAACAACAAGCAGCTGTGGTTTTGCTTGGGTACCCCTTCCTTTGTTGTTTGTTTTGTAAACAAATCTGTAGCTGTACTGGAAACACCCGTGACAGACACATGGGACACCTGGGATGCTCAGGCGTGTCCCCGCAGCATCCCCGCGGGCTGTGCGTGCGGCTCGGAGCGCTCGCTGCTGGCCCGGCCCGGCCCGGCCGCGCCCGCAGCGCAGGTGAGGGGCACGGGCCGGGCGCGACCGCTCCCCGGGCACCGGGAGCCCCGGGCGGGAGGCGGAGGCCGAGCAGCTCCCCAGGGCGGTCCGGGGAGGGCGGAGCGGCCCGCGGGAGCCGCTCGGGGTCACCCCGCCCCGGAGCTGCGGAAGCGCCGCTCGCCGCTCTCTGCCGGCGATGGAGGGCGGGGGCTCGGCGTCCCTGCTGGCGGCGGCTGCCGGCGCGGGGCCGGCCGGCGGGCCTGGGAGGCGCCAGGAAGCGCTGGAGCACCGGTGCCTCAGGTGAGGGCCCGCAGGCGCAGTGCGTGTTCGCAGGCGCAGAGGCGGCGGTGGAGCCCGGCGCTCCCGCTGCCAGCCCAGGAACCGGGAGATCTGGATGAGGAGAGCAAACCCCGCTGGCATCTGCGTTTGTGGTCACCCAGAGAGAGCGGCTGTCCCCAAACCGGAGACTTACTGGATCCTCGCCTGTAAGACCGCCTGTCTCTCCTGGCGTTTGGGACACCTGAGTCGTAAAGGGATGCCAGGTAAGGTGGCCTACGGCACCCCTTTGGGGCTCCCTGGGTTTTGGCTGTCCCTCGGTGCTGCCACTTCCATTAGCAGCTCGGCTCGGAGCTCCCAGTGTGCGTGTGTGTGTGTCTGCCCGGGCGGGCCTCGCTGGGCCGGGGGTGCCGGCACACAGCGCCCGGCCCCGGCCGCCTCGCTGCACGGAGGGCACGGACAGAGCTGCGCTAGCCCCAGCTGTCCCCGGCACAGCGAATAATGGGAAACGGCTCAGGGGATTTCTGTGTAATCTGTGGTGCTGGATAGATCCTGTGGTGCCGCAAGACTCTGCTAGTCCTGTGTGATAAACTGTGTTCTATACCCACTCAGCACAGCAAACTCTGGAGCAGCGAGATACCTCCAGTTCATTCTTTGTCTAAAACATCTGGTCTAAGTGGACAGGAAGACGAACAGTTGCGAGAGCCAGTGGCTGACCCAGGCCAGTAGAGCTAAATAATAAACAGATTGCTTAAGGCTGCAAAACATGCTCAGTTTCCCATCTTCTTTCACACTTAATGGGTGATTAACCATTAAATTAAACCCACCGTATATTGCAGTGTTCTGAATGAGGGTATGTTTTACTGGGAAAAGATGGCTAACAAAAGTCTGCCATAAAAGATTTCACATCTGCTTTAGTCACCTTTATTTTATCAGTGTGCAAATTGGAGATTGCATTTTTGCGTAGTGTATGTGGAAAAAACAAAGCTCCAAGGGATTTGTAAATTTCAGTATATTTACCCTGAAAAGCGGCAAAGTAAATAAAGACCCAAGGGCAGAGGTGCTGTAGTGACATACCCTAGGGCGATTCCAGAACAACTTATGTGCTTTTTAGTCTTGCCAGAGGAAAGCAGACTAAAGTAGTCTCTAAAATACAGGTTTTAAAAACTGATTATAAGGAAAAGTCTGCCCCTTTTGTATGCCTGTTCTTATCTGTGGCTATTGTTTCAATATGTTATTTTCGTGTTTATTGTTTGAACAGTAGATCAGGTT